AAAAAAAACTAAATAACTAAAAAAAACAAGATATGACTCAGACCGGTATCGAACCCAGGACTCCAAGGTGCGCATTTCCTCGCAAATGCAGTATCTTACCATATAATAATACTTGTACACAAATACATACATATATCACAGGTATAGTATGATTTCTTGATCAGTACTATCCTCATGAAATTTTAACAAAGAAAACTACTTTTATTTTTATTGAAACTATATAAAAATCAAGATTTGAATGAACGAACCTAAATAAAATTATACAACAGATTCACTCTTATTTAAAGAATAAAGCATTATAGAAGTATTTCGCAAACATAAGATTTGTTGAATAATATTATTCGTAAGTTTCCAATAAGGGAACATTCAATTCGTGCATCATGAGAATAAGGCATGACATAAGATTTAAGTTTCATCCATATACAATTTTATCAAAGAAAGCAACTTAATTATACAGAATATTTGGAATCATAAAGATTTAAGTTTTTAATAAGGGATTGTAAGATATAAAGAAACCCAATTAAAAAGATAAAATATGCGCATTTTTTAATTTGTGCCTGAGAATAAAGAATTATCTCATAGTAAAAACGAACAAGCATAGGAAGGTCTTTTACCTTATGAAGACCGTCTAGCTTGTCTAAGCCTAAGCAAAGACAGTTTTTAGTTATGATTCTCACAAGTTTTCGACAAATGATTAAAAATTGCACAAGTCAACAACAACAACAACAACAACGTGAACGACAACGAAAAATGTTGTTTTGCCTTTAATTGTCTGCGTTGCGGCTTCCGAATGGAGGCTTTTCAGCGGCAATTCTTTTGTGTTTCTCAAAAAACAACAAAAAACATAATAAATAAGTTAAAATAACAACTATAGCTTCTCTAATTTTAACAGCTTTTTAATTACGCGGCCCGCACTAATGGAGCGCTCCTTAAGACATTGCAAAACCTGATGGAAAACAAATTATCATTGTGTTATGAAGTTAACCGAAAAAAAAAGTAAATGAACTTTTGCAGGAAAAGCAGCTGTTTAAATAATATTATTGATTATACAATGCGAAGCGAGTCGAAAACTTTGCAGCTTATTAAGTTGATGGATTTATTTAAAAAAATGCGAAAATCTTAAAGCTTAAACGGGGTTAAAATACCCAAAGAAAAAAGACAGACTCGAAAGTTTCGTAGAGAATTGCGGAATAAATATAAAATTTGCCAAATTTAACTTAGGATCTCTGAATATTCCAACTTGTGGTTAAATAATATGCTAAAAACAAAACTAATTATTTCTTTGTCGCACAACACACCCAGAAAACGAGGCAAATGTTAATGTTGTATTTGTAAGTTGTAAAACTTCCCGAACAAGTTTCACTTTCACACCTCCAAATAAGGCGGGAGTATTTATAAATATTTTGCATGCCGCAGACTTCCTTGCGGTAGCAGCTGCTTTTGTGCTGTGTTCGTCTGTCATTAATATTTAAGTATATTGTGCATAAAAGCCAAGCAAAATACTCATGCGTATACACAGACCATTAAGTCGAGCCAACAGAGCGGACATTTCAGGGCCAAGAAGTGACTAAGTCCAAGTTTCAGCCACCCTGCCCGCCGTACCCCTCTAACGCCTTTGGCGGGCCGGGCTACTGTCGGATGAGCTCAACTCAACAACAATTGGACAAACTGCTGCCAGCTTATTTCTGATAATGCCTAAAAACTGCAAGTTGCTTTGTTCGAGTGAAGAGACAAATTTATGCATGGGAAAAATATGTTTTATGTCTCTTGTTTATGATTAATTTGTGGCTTTTAGTTTGCTTTTATCATCAACTTTGGCTAAATGTCTGACGAGTTGTCTTGTGTGTGTGTCTATTGATTTATTTATGAGGAAGGCTAAGCGGAGTATGAGATCTCTTAAAGTTGTCTAAAGTAGCTTTAGCTGTAGACTGTAAATAAAAATAATATATTCAACGTTTTGCGGGAGAAATAATGAAACGTATTCTCTTTATATATTATCATTTCTTGGCTGGGCACATTTTAACGAAAGTATATCTGCGTTTTTAAGTGTGTTCCTGGATGATTTAGATTCACAATGGATTTTTTTTATTATTCTACGATTTTTTGCATATCGGAACATATAAACAAGGTCCGCTTATCTCAGAATAAATATATTTCAGTAATAAAAATAATAATATTTAAGAAAATTATCAATTGAAATAGATATATAAATTATTTCAAAGGTATATATATATATTAGCGTGTATAGCCCGGCCTGGTCCGTGGCACGTATAAAATAAATGCTCTCAAAAAGCTTTGAAAATGATTTTGAAACTGATCGAACGGTAAATAAACAATTATCATACAAACGTTTTCCCCCAATTTACCAGTGTGTGGGTGGAATTTCCCAAATCGCTGAAACACGTATTCATTATGTTCTTATGTAGAGCTCTGAAAATAAGTTTGAATTACATCGGAATAAATTAAGAACTGCACAAGAAAAATCTTAGAATAGCATTTCTACCGAGGATGCTTTGATTCTGCGAAAAACGTGAAACACGTCTCAAATGATTTTTCATATAGATCCTTGAAAATGAATTTGAGCGCGAAACGTCATCCACCAAATCTTTGACCTCCATTTCCACCAAGGAGGAATACATTTTCAGAAATGTGTGAAATACCCCTCAAATGAATTTGAACAAAGAACTTTGAAATTGAGTTTGAGCCGACCGGATGGTAAGCAAAAAAGTTTCATACAAACGTATTTCGCGATTTTGCCATACTTGCGGGTGGAATTTCCCGAAACCCCGCCTTAAAGTGCACCTTCATCACATAAGGTAACCTTAGTGACAATTTCAGCTTCCTAGCTCTTACGGTTTGGGCTGTGCGTTGATCACCAATAAGTCAGTCAGTCAATCAATCAGTCAGTCAGTCGGGACAAACAGTTTTATATATAGAGATATAAATCTCAATTAATTTCATACTCTGGGAAAAATGCTTAATACTGATTGTGTGACGTGTTATTACTGTACACTCAATCTTGGCTGAATGTCTCCTATAAAAAAAAACTCACCCTTTAATTCCCTTAAACAACAGCTCCCAGGCACTTTAACTTGATGGCTAACGTTTAACATATGCAGTTAACTTGGCTTGAAACGGTTTTAATAATAGCAGCTCCTGACTCAACAGCCCGTTACCTAAAGATGTGTGGCAATCTGTCCATAACTCAGCCAGTTAAGCGCACATTATCCAACAAAAACAACAACAACAACAACAACAACAACAATAATAACAGCAACAATAAAAACACCTTTTACCCAGTTGTAAATAATTGCAGAGGAGACGGCGCACAACAAAGTGACAAGCGACTTAGTTCTCAGACTATGCTAAATGGTTTCCTGAAGCACGAAAATGCTGGAAAAACTGGAACCCAACTCAAATACTAGCTACACATGCATCTACATAAGTTGCTTTTGTAGGAGATTTCCGAAAACAAAAACATTTACGCAAACCCCAAACAATAGCAAAAGAGCGCTAATTACACGAGTAAGGGAGACAGCGAGATATGCATTGCCAGAGAGAGAGAGAGAGAGAGGGAATGAGAGGGAGAGGAAGAGACAGTGTGGGACGGGGGGAATTTGATTTGTAGAGTAAAGCCTTAAACAATGGAGAAGCAGAAGAAAAAACAAATCCAAATCAAAGAAGGAAAATACAAAATCAAACTAGTGTGAATACTTTAATAGAGAGTGCTCGACTAGCAAATACCCTATACCCAGCATCAGACTGTGCCTTATGCAGACGCTTAGACGCCTCGATCTTACCAAAGTGCAAGAGGCCTTCTTTGTTCTTAAACTGTATATAACATTTATGCATCTACTTAGTTCTAATCATTTTATTTCAATCATGTCTCAAAATCGACATTTATCCATATAAAAATGGGTTGAGATATCCATAAGATCTGTATACGATCTATAAATATATATACATCAAGTAGCCAGCTCTTGTAGATTTCGCGACAGACAGAAATGGGAAGATTTTCTTAGCTCGTCGTCTTGATCTAGAATATATCTATATATATATATATATATACATGGTCAGAGCTGCCTTCTTCTGCCTGTTACTTACTTTATACGAAATGCCAGTATACCCTTTCTTATACATTCTATGCATACAGGGTACAAAAACACTTTGCCAAATGCGCAAAACTAATGCCGTTTAGCCAAAAGCCGTTACATCATTTCGCAAGCCAACCAACCTGCATTATATACTTATATATATATGCAACATCGAAATCTTGAAACTTTTTCGAGTGCAGCTCTATTTCTATATCAACTTCTTTGCGCAGTCGCGCATGCGCAGCCGAGCAAATGGGTCAAATTTGTAGTTTAACCAATTTTATGGGATTTTGCAATGTGCTTTGGAATTTGAACTTGCCCACAGGGCTGTGTTTTTTTCTCTTGTTTAGTTTTTAACCCATGTATCTTTATCAATTCGTTGATTGGCCATTAAATTGGATTTTAATTGTTGTTAATTTTTTATGACCTTGCGACTCGCCAGTTGTTTAGTTTTCGATGAGATTTTTGACTTAATCGATGAAATTAATGCAATATTTTTAATTCATTTTCATTTAAAGCGCTATAAAATGTAAATTATTTTATAAAATTATTGTTATCTTACTATCGCTTCCTTCGCTCTTTTCCCGTTTTCTCTCACTCCTACCCTTTCTTTCTGTCTCGTGCCAAAAGTCTTACTCATCATAAATATTTGGGCATGCTTGAATTCATGAGAATCGCATAGAAGGGTGAGTACGAGAGGAGAGGAAGAAAAGAGATAAAGATAAATAATGGAACGTCTAAAACTATTACTTGATATCATGAAAATCGCATAGAAGGTGTTTTTAAGATAGGAATAAGTAATAGTATCAAAGATAGGACAGATCTATTGCCTCAATTCAAATAGTGAACTTCCAGTTAATGTCAAATCACAAATACACAAGCTACATATATACACAATACAACCTACAAACATTCCAAGCACACAACATACATACATATATATACCATACAAATATATAAAAAATATAAAAAAAACCACACAATACAGAGGAAAAGACTAGCCAAGAAGCACTACACTATATACCCATAATTTGTGTCCACAATGAAGCGCATGCACGTAGACAGCTCCGCCCCAAAGTATCAAAGTGGCAAATGGTCCTGGGATGAGAAGGCCGATGGATTGCATTTTCAGGGACATTTCGATTTGGAGCACGCCAACGAACGTTATATTGAGACAAATGGATATAAATTTCTTCGGACCATCAATCAGGAGGAGGAGCTGATCTTTCGCCAGGTATTTGTACGCCCCGATACCACATACGATGCGGACACTGTGGTCATCAACGATGTCCGTGATCTGGTGCTGTTCCTAATGCCAAAAGAGTTTTTGTCGCCGAAACTTATTGAATTTATGCACAAGCCAGCTGTGCATAGACTGATCCATGCTCTAATTATCTATTTTGAGTATTTTCTGCGCATGGTGGAGTTCATTCTGATCCGCAGGGACGAGCTGGACGGCAACCTGGCGAAGATCCAAAGTGAGCAGACGAATGAAATGAAGCGAATATTCTCATTGTACTTGAGTCAATATCGCATGTTGGTCGCTAGAAATTATTGCATTATCATAATGGGCGAGTCCGATTTGAAAAAGTTTTACCATACAAAACAGATAGTCAATATTTCGTCCAAGATCAAGGATCGAATCTTTCACGAACACTTTTTGGCTATCTGCATTCAGATCGTGTGGATCACCATGCATAGACGGGCATATTTCATAATCGAAATGGAAATGAATCGACTCTTTCGCTCGGAGCACTTTTTAATGAACCGTCCGGAGTATCTAAAATTCTCAACCGTCGAACGATCTCTGCTCTATGGACGTAATATGAAGATTGTCAACTATCGCAGCCAGAACTCGCCAATGATTCAGGAACTAAAGAGTGTAGCTGTCGAGGATATGCCCATACTTTGGATTGGTGGGCGCAAATATCGTGGCAGCAATCCACGTATAGCCGAACTCGAACTGGAATATATAGTGCCCGAGCGGCAATTGCGTATGATCGATGTGGTGCACGGCATTCTTGGAAATCCAAAAATCCTATACGATACGATACTCACGCTGGACTGGCCATCGGTGCGCTATGCCAACTACTCAAAACAGTATGATCCATACGGTATTATACGCCAGCCAAATCTGCCCATACCCAAAATCAATGAGATGCAGGTGCGCCAATTGTCCAAGAACTTCGAACAGTACTACAAGGTATTTTGTATCTACGATCCGTGTACCCAAGAAACGCTAGCCAACTGGTTCAATCGTGACAAGATCGTTGAATACTATCGCTCCGGTGGCGTTCTCTACAATCTGTTCATGCGCTGCGAGAGGCAGTTCGTCCTCGAAATGAAGCGGCCATCGGTACCGTCGATTGTTGCCAATTACTTCCGCGTCGTGACAAGATTGCGTAAGAAGAAGCCTGTGAAATTCGACACGGGCACAGAAGGACAATGCAACACAGTACAGTATAAAAAGGAGGGCAAGGAATATTATTTCGATTGAAAGTTCAACGAGAAGTCTAAATTAATTTCAAGTTTGAATTCGATTCGAAATATCGAGTTCGCAAACAATAAAGCCAATTGCCCAACTACTTTCTACTCGACTTATCTATCAAATTATCCAAATAGAAATCAATGCATTTATATGGAGAGATATTTGCTTCACTTTTTATACCCTGAACCCATTGAAAATGGGTATAAGGGTATATTGTATTTGTGCAAAATTCAAATGTATGTAACAGGCAGAAGGAAGCATCTCCGACCCCATAAAGTATATATATTCTTGATCAGCATCAAAAGCCGAGTCGATCTAGCCATGTCCGTCTGTCTGTCCGTCCGTCCGTCCGTCTGTTCATATGTATGAACGCAAGGATCTCAGAACCTATAAGAGCTAGAGACTTGAAAATTTTACCGATAATCGATAACTTACTCCGTTTCCAAGCAATCAATAAAAATCGATATCGATATCCTGTTTTTTGAGCAATTTTGGTAAATAATAAGAGCTAGAGTCACCAAACTTGACATATAGCTTCTAAAATAGAATATATATGTGCATTTGATGTTGGAAGAAGAGGGTTCCGGGTATCCCCTAGTCGGGAGCTCCCGACTAGAACCTCTTACTTGTTTTTTTGTGGCTCATACATCATCAACCCTCGCTCAGTTTCCAAATTCGCATTCACACAAACATGTTCATCTATGCGCGATAAAGGAGGAGGACCAGAATCCAGACAGCTTTGTAATTAACCAATATCTATATTTCTCATATAGTCTAACCAATCTAGTTCGAACTAGAGAGCAAAGCATTTTCTCAGCTTGGAGGGGTGCATAAATTACAGTCTATAGAGTTGAGGGGCAATAAGCCAAAATTAAATTAAACACGCTCAAACGCAAATGCCAACCCAAGAGCTACACCCTCCCCCCCCTCGCGACACATTGTTTGGGCCACTTTGGCTGACACTCAACATTTGCTATCAGATTTTGCGTGAGGCAAGGCAAAAGTTTTGCCAATTTCTGTTTATTTTAACTACTCTGACTTTGTTGTATACCCTGGAGTGTTACAAAAGGGTATCTGCGAACGCTTATCTCCAGTATTTTGGCTACCGAGCTCCATTAAAACCTAAGTCTAAACTGTTTGATTTAAGTTATGTTGTTAGTAAATACAACTGCCCAATTCTTAGCTGGGCTTATAATTTTTTAAAACAAGCCCAAATTAAAAACAAACCAGAGAGATGAGTAAAACTTATACTCCTTGGCCTACATCGGACAGGTTACAGGGTATCTCTTAGTCAAAAGCATTCAAAATTAATTGTTTTGTGTGTGTTTCTTTTGGCTTGGGGTATCGTATTTTGTGAAATCGTCTATTATTGTCATCATGCTAACGTTCGATTGCCATAAACGCACATGAATATTACAAATACACACACGCATACCACGTATATACACACACACACATAGGCACATATATGAATATATTTATTTGCATTTGTGTTGGCCTTTGAATTTGCCAATTGGGCTCGTTGTCTCTTAGTCACAATTCAAATATTTTTATTATTGCAATGAAAGCTGGCCAATTAGCAGGCCCCAACACAACAATATACATACATATATATTTTCTCGTCTTTGTAGTGGTATATAAAGATATTATTTATTAAATACCAGTGAGTCAGCGGTTAAAAAAAAAACAAAAAAATGATTTGTGAGCGGGTTGGCTGGACTGATAAGTGCACAGAGATATTATATGATTAACCATCAAATACGATTTACAATATAATGGCCTAGTTCCTAAAACATACAGAATTTTATCTTATGATTCAAAACATAACAATAATAACTCACATCATGGCGGCATGGTTCATGGTGCGAACCAGTGCCTCGCCTTTGGATTCGGTTCGTGTAACTAGTTCACAGACTTAATATTGCATTTCTTTTATAGAGTTCGATCGCCCAAGACATAAAGTAGATTTTTGCATATTTTTATGGGATTTAATCGCTTGAAATTCTGATGCCAATTTATCCAGTCAAACTGAAAAATTTATCATAATTATGCACATATACACATAGTTAATATAACAGCCTTTTATTTAGAGCATATTATCAACTCTTTTTCTATTGTTACCAAGTTTCGCATTGACACCAAATTGCTTTGGAAAGTGAAAATGCTTTCACCTTCTACAGTTCGTTACAAAAATTACAAAAAAAAAATGATATCAAAATTAGTATTTGAGTAAGAGGGCAAAATTAAATAAAAGTATGTACAGACACACACACACACACACACACCACATGGGAACCAATTGTTTGGTGTGTAGCAACAATGGGCAGAAGGTGGCAGAAGGTGTCTCATTGTTGTGATAGTCTTGGATCTTCGTCTGGGGCGACCCGCTCAAAGTCTTTTGGGAGTCAACAAGCTGCCAATGTCAGGCACAAATTGCAGCTAGACTGCTTTATCAAATACCCCGACATGGCATGAACGATAATTATGGAGCCATGGAGCCAGTTTATAATTTGCACATCAATAAACTTTGACAGAGAGTCGAATGATTGGCAGACGGGCCAGCAATTTGTTACCGTTTCCTCACAGAGGGTACTCTTAATGGCCATGACAGTATTATGTAATTTGTAGTCTCTTTTCTCTCAAAATTAAATCAATATTAAATATGATTATAATTTAATTTGTGGCGGACATGCAGCAGCGTTGAATGTTTTGCTTCCTGCAAAACGCCATGTTTATTAAATTACATGGAAATGTTGCTATACCGTAATTGAAGCTAAAGTTAGTTGATCATGAATCGAAGCTGAAGGCTGCAGTCCACAGCTATGTAATTTGATGAGCCCACAAAGACCCACAGGTAGGGTATCTGCGTTATAATGCTCCATTTGACAATAAAAGATAATTTTCTTTTCCTTTTCTTGATGTCTTTAAAACTGGCTTAATCCTCTCCAACTTCTTCTTCTATATCGACAACATTAAATCATACAAAATAAAGTACTTTTTATTCATAATTTTACATTTTTTCTTGCTCTTATTATTTTTCTGTTATGCATAGGTCGCTCAATAACCAAACTCAACATAGAGAGAGAAAGAGAGAGTGTGTGTTGTGTCTGCTCGACAGAAAATGAACCTACCTCTATACCCCTCTCCTACCTACCCAACGACTCTAAGGCAATTAACCAACCACCCAGCGATTATTCATTCGGCTGTGGAATTACAATTGTTGTGAAGAACAGGATCGGAAGGAGCCAGGGAATGGGTGCGAGAGAGTGGGTGGCGGTGGTGGTGGTGTGGTGAGATTTTCAGTCCTCTCTCTCTCTGATCGATGTCAGGGCACACACACACGCATAAATGCCCCAAATATGCGCCTTCAATGATGCGTAGAGTTGCGTACACACACCATCAGACGAAATTATTATAATTCGAACCCAGGGGAGCTGCCTGTAAACAAAAAGTACACGCAACAGACTGGCTTCTAATTTGTGGCGATCCGGCGCCTTAACGAACAGCACCATGGACCACCGTCAACAAATGCAGCTAAATGACTATTCGAATCTTACCCAGCAGCTGATAGACACTTTTGGGCATTTGTTTCAAGGTTAGAGAATTTGCAAATCTAAAAGTAAATATTTTTTTTGCTAAAATATATGGCGACTGCTGCCAAATAAACGTGCCTGGAATTCTAATTTGGCAATGTTGCAATTATCATATGTTAATTATAAGCCTGTTTTATATATAATAAATATATAAAAATATAAACTAATTAAAATATAAAAGAAACTATTGTACAAAAATATTACTAAAAACTTTTCGATGAAAATATCTGGTGCATGTCTGCCCCCAGCTGGATTCGAACTCGTTGTGGCTAATTCTAAGGTCAAACTTACGTAACCCTAGCTTGCAATGCTAAATAAAATCAACAGTGGAAATAAAAAGCAGGCAGCAAAAGGAAAACCTAATAAGAAACTGAATATGTCTAAGAATGGGAATCATATTAACAGAAATGTCTGCAATTATATGCCCATTTTATGTATAATAGGTATATAAACAATAATGTATGACATTAAACAAAATATTATAGAATTAAAAACATATCGATACGACAATTGGGCGACTGCCCTTACCGGCAATCGAACCTGATGTGTCTTGTGCCAAAGCAAGACATACCAAACTCTAATTTGCAGAAGATTTGTCAACACTGGAAATAAATAGCAAGCAATAATATGTATAAGAATGGCAGTCATTTTAATAGAACTGTCTGCTATTATATGCCTTTTTTTATATAATAGATATCTACATAATAGTTTCTGCTATTAATAAAAATAACATTGAAAACATTTCGATACAACTATTTTGCGTCTTCCCTCAGCAGTAATCGAACCCGAGGTGTCCCGCCGTACCTAAGCAAGACATACCGAACTCTAGTTGGTGACGCTAAAAACAATGTTGCTTAACACTGGAAGTGTAAACACATAACAATAAGGAACTGAATAAAAATCGAAACCGTTTTGAGAGTACTCTTTGCTACGATGATAAGTTCAAAACCCGCTTAAAACCGTTTTTAAAACGGCAATCAGTTCCATGTGCGAAATATTTCTTTGCAATATTTTTGCAACAAAGCTCATTAGCTGCGCAAAGGGAATGATTTAAAAAGCAAAAGGGCACCACAAATAATACGGAAAATCCGCATTAAAAACATAAGTTTCCCCTGTGACACACAAAAACAAAACCAAAGCCCAACAAGGAAAGTAATTTGCCATAGGCAGAGCTGTACGAGCCGTAAGAAAATAAGAAAAAGAAACAGTCACCATGACATTTGCAGACCATACGAGACCATAAACAAAGAAAGAAATGCTATTACTGGGCAAGCGGTAAGTGGTAAATGGGCTGACCATAGCGGGTCAGCACCAGGCCCAGTCCAATGTACGCAAACACATATAATAATCACAGCAACTATGCCGAGCGACCTTAATTTGCAGGGTACTACGAACCAAAACTATTAACCAGGTTATGTTTGCGGGGTTAAGGGGGGTCTCAAAGTCATAAAACTGCGTGCCACGCAATTTCAAAGAAGTCGAGTCTAAAAATTAGCCAAATTTCTTGCGTGTGCGACTTAGAGAAATGAGAGGGAAATGAGCTTTAGCACTGAGATTCACTCTCCGAATGTGAATCAGCAATCAAAGAATATACAAATTATACCATATAGCTAGGTGTGTGTATGTATAAATGAAATTTAAGAAAAAAAAAACATTTATTGGAACTGGTTTTCGCCAACTGGAACGTACAAGCTCGTACACACTCACATGCAAATGAGTTAATTTTGAAATTTTGTTTTTGTTTTTTTGCAAATTCGTCGATAAATTTTCGGCCATCGGACAGCGACAATATGTTGATGACTTCACCCCAAAAAGGTACGTGAGCCGACTTTTTGAATTTTGGTAAAACATTGAACATATAATAAAAAAAAAAACAATAAAATGTTGGGAAACTTGCGTTCAGAATGGCATTTAATGTTTTCTAACCTGAGCTATGTTTATAGTAAAAAAAATATAAAAATTAGTTATAGTTGGCTAAAGATACATGTATATGTATGTATGTATGTGTGTGCGTGTGGGTTGGCTATGTCCACACGATATTTTGTTCTAAGGCGTTGAAGATACGCCAAAGATCGGCGAACTTTATATGGTCAGCAAGTGAGTCAGTTGTTTGGTGGGCGAAAGGCGGAAAATCAAAATTAAAGCTCATGAATAGGCGATTTTTGTCATTGATGGACAACTCTTAAGTATTGACAAGCGACTGCAGTCTGCCAATGTTGAGAATTGTCGATTGCTCGCATTGCCAACTGTACCAAAGATTAATAACCGAAACGTTTACGTTCGTTACGTATTTCACTTCTACTAGTTCTGTGCAGCTAAATGCATCCTGTTGTGATCAAGGCTAATCAAAGCGCACTCAAATTAAATTATCAAGTTCTTGGGGGCCAAAGCGAAGTGTTTTTTTTTTATCGTAATTGATTCAAGAATAAATTGCTGCCGCTGACAAAAACCATTCTATTCAATGGGAGTACGAAAGTTGCTTAATAAATTAGAAAAACTGGTTGCTCAACACAAACAAACAATATATTCGTAAGCTCGTTCAACTTATTTAAAGCGGAGAGACGGATATAGACTGTTGAAAAGGCCAGGGGTAGCCACAACAAGTTGTATTATATATATAGTACATACATATATGTATGTATTAATACGAAGCGTATCGAACGCCTACACAAAAGTTGATATACGTTTATTTTGTTGATGTGACTGTTTCACAAAATGACAAAGCGCGTCATAAAACCGAGTGTTAAAGAGGTCAGGGAGGGGATTGGAATAATGGAGTATTTCAGAGATTCAATCTCCTTTTATTTCTTCACAAATAATAACAACAATTGGCTGTAAATCGTGATAATCGACAGACCCGAACTTACCTATCACTTCAATTGATAGCCCAATCGGCAATTGTTCTCCCGAACGGGTTTAGTTTAAAAATACAAAAAAAAAAGAAACATGGTCAGCCAGTTGGGCGTACAAACTAGTTCCCCAGACAATGGCAATAACAGCAGTAGTTTTTTTCGGCCGTTTGTCTGTGAACTAGATATTGTAGAGCAGCCATGGACCCAAAAGTTTTCTGATATTTTTATACCCTGAACCCATTAAAAATGGGGATAAGGGTATATTGTATTTGTGCGAAAGCCAAATGTATGTAATAGGCAGAAGGAAGCATCTCCGACCCCATAAAGTATATATATTCTTGATCAGCATCAATAGCCGAGTCGATCTAGCCATGTCCGTCTGTCTGTCCGTCCGTCCGTATTTATGAACTCAAGGATCTCAGAACCTATAAGAGCTAGAGACTTTAGATGTAGATGCTTCTAGTTCCCACGCAGATCGAGCTTGTTTCCGATAATCGATAACTTACTCCGTTTCCAAGCAATCGATAAAAATCGATATCGACATCCTGTTTTTTGGGCAATTTTGGTAAATAATAAGAGCTAGAGTCAGCAAACTTGAAATATAGCTTCTAAAATAGAATACATATATGCATTTGATGTTGGAGGAAGAGGGTTCAGGGTATCCCCTAGTCGGGAGCTCCCGGAGATCTTGAAGACATACGTAAAGGAATGTTCGATAAAAGAGTTAAGCTATGAAATGTTGCGGAAAGCGTGAGAACTCTGTTTAGTAGAAAGAACTATAAAACCAAAAATTTGGAACAATATGTCTATGATTTATATGTTTTCAATTTTAATAAGGGTAAATGCGCAGTTGCTTGGCAATCAGAATCAGGCAAAGCAATATATGTTAGATGTATTACAAATGTTGGCCAAAAACGAAAATAATAATAAATCCAGCTAAAAATAAAAGCCGATGCTTGCAAATTGGCACACACGCTTCAACAGACCGCAAAAAAATAAAGGCGCGCTTGATGACTCGAACCACGAAGCAACACCTACAACGGACCAGTCCCAGGTCTAATTACGTCAGTCAGCCATGGCTATGGCAACTATAATACTTATGCATAGTATACTCTGGGCCTGGACATCAACTAAATTGGCCAGCGACTGGCATTGTGTTTATGACGCATCGGCGAACAGGCCAAAAGCGCGCAGAGCCTCAAAATTAATTAGACAACTTGTTTTTTTTATATAAGTATATATTTTTTTGTATTTTTGCATATGCCAAAAACACGCAAAAGCTGCGAAAAACCGAAGTCTGGACGTCACTTGCCAAATGATAAGCCCTTAGGTGATGTCAAGGTGGACAAGTCGCAAGATTTATGCGGCATCCACATGCCACAAGTCCTGTGCCAAGGCTCCACAAATGAATTAAAATATTTTCGTATTCCGTTGTAACGCCCGAAATGACAAATTGAACCGCTCAACGGCGCTGTTGACCTTTGCGGCTTGACCAATTTCGTAGGGGCCAGGGCGAAAAAAGCAACACAAAAAAAAAACAAGCTTAGAGCGAATTGTTTTTAGTTAATGAAAAGTGGAACATGGGAAAATGTTGCTGTTACGCTAGATGGGCGCAATGCTCCACAGATCGTTAATGGTTTCTTATTTCTTAATAGGCATACGATCGGACTATCAATAGTCAATAGGGGTCATGTCTCAAGAAACATGGGAAACGTATTATAAAATGTGTGTGTGAATCAATGGAAGAGTGAGTGGCATATTATCCTTGAGAACACAGCTGACATTATGGGTCAATTCCCTAGAGTGACCATCGTACCTTCGAAATGAAGATGAAGTCATGCGTCCCCAACAAAAATTACAACTCTTTGCATGACTAAGCCGACACGTAAAGCTCCCCCCTCCCCCACCTTGCATACGCAACGAAAATTCAAGTTCAACGCTTTGTGCCGTCCTCTGTCCGGGTTACTGACACCGGAGTTCAACTACACACTTCCTAGAATCTAGCTATTTCCAACGTTTAGTTCCATTAACATTGCGTTTACATGACGAATAGCCAAAAGTCAATATAATTGATTAGAAAACAGAGTTCGCTTGTCAACGGTAAAGAACATGGCCATTAGCCTAACTATCACTGGGCGGGAGAAAGGGGGGTGGGCAAATAGTTTTTGGGTAAGTACGCAGCAAGTAATATGCTAATGAACGACCACGAACTTGAGCCGGGCGTATGTACATAATAATGCCTTGAACCAGAACGTTCCCGCTCAACGCCAACCGCTATCTGAGCATTAGTGTGTGTGGATATTAGAGCTATAGGAAATTGTCTATTGCCTGTGTGTAAACAGGTGCGCCACCCACTGTGGTTCAAGGTCGCAGCGCACAGAACCATTCGATAAGGCTGAACAAACTTGCGGCTGTTTCTTGCCATTGTCTTTGACTATCAGGCGGCTGCCGGCTGCGCGTGTGTTGGGCTGATAAAAGAGAGCTAAAAGAACGGTAAAGCTGCAACGGTTTTTGTACTTTAACATGCAACTAATGCAAAGTAAACGGTCATGGAAAATCGATATCATTACGTAGATAACTACTACATATATACATATACATGAATACATATATACGTATATAGTTCACTAGTTTACTGCGCACTTTTGCCGTGAATTCTCTATGTGACATGTCAGGCAAACATTTTGTTGACCATCCACATTTGGTATATGAATACGTATGCATGTATGCATGTGTGTGTGTGTGTGTGTGTGTGTATGGCTGTCATGTACTACGTGTGTCTAAATATTTTATGCATTTCAGTTGACAAAATGTGTACTGCTGCAATTGAACAGTTGAACAGGTGGAGCGCGTTTGTGTGTACAATAAGCAATCGATATGCAATAAATTATGCATATAGATAGCTAGAATAATGGCTGACAATTTAAGGCACGTGTGTTAAGCCAAAGAAGAAAAATCAAAATTAAAAGCTGAGTCAGCCAGTCTGATCAGCGTTGCCAGCCAGCTTGGCTAGGTCAGTGTAAACATTTGACGCAATTATCGATAACATGTTATCGATCAGCGTTGCCAACTAAATTGAGTTGCCAAATGATTTGTTTGGTTATGCTTATATTCTCATACATTTATTAAGATTGTTGCCACTCACCTCAATTTTACCAGAATAATCCTCAATTAGCTTCTCCTGCTGTTTGACCAGCTCCTCATTCTTTTCGAGCAACGCTTTGCCCAGCTCAGCGGCTAATAATATATCTGACTCCTTCTGCTGCAATTGAGCCCACACATCCGGCTCATTGTCGTTGCGTCGTGCCTCCATGGCGCTGATGTAATGTTCTAAATCAATTGAAGCGTCAATTAGTGCGGAGTGCGAATGTTTTTCGTAGAGTGGCAATGACGACGAATCGACTGCAGACTCTTTAGCCGTTACTGGCTGGCTGAATTGACGTGCGCGTTTTGATTTGTTGTTGTTGTTGTTGTTTGATATGGATGAGGCAATACCGGCAGCAGTTATAGGATTCGCTAGCTTTGGTCTATGCATGATCGTTAGCGGCAGGCAGGTGTTGGTGGTTGGGTGGTATTACGAGCAACAAACAAAACACACACAAACATAACACAAAAATGCGATATACATATATTTATAATATTGCTTGTTAGAGATGATGAAGGCGATCGAGCGGGCAATCGAGCAGGCGATTTGTTAGCGGCGATTATTATTAATATTGATTTATTTTTATTTTTTTGTTTTTTTTTTTTTTGGTTAGGTTTTCAGATACAAGACAACGCGTTGTAGTCGCTCTTGTTGTTGTTCTTCTTCTTCCTGTTGTTGTTGTGGTCGCTGATTATGTTGTCGCTGTGCCTTGGGAATGACAGGCCCAAGCCACATGATGTTTCCATAGATGTCCGCTGCCCAAGAGCAGCTCAGCATGCGTTTGTATGAGAGGCCAGACACCGCACGGCGATTTAACTGTTGTTTTGGTAAGTAGTAGGCAAGTTGGTAAGTAAATAGTAGCAGTATTGAGAATTAAAGCCAAATTGCCAGCAAGGCATTTGTACATGGAAATATAATACAAGAGCTGCTCTCGCAGCACGTAAACTGAGCTAAGCAGAGGCTAAAAAGGAGCGCCGGTCACGTTGCACATTTACAAGCACGTTTTCGGTTACAGGCAAAGGGTTATCGCTGAGAGAGAGAGAGAGAGAGAGAGAGAGAGAGAGAGAGAGAGAGAGAGAGAGAGAGAGGGTGGGGAGGAGGTGAATATGTACATATGATGATGACATATAAGTATTTTCGTTAAGTTGATGTAAAATGAACAATTAGTTAAGCTGCATGCGATTGTGTTAAGTCTGGGGCATGGCAGGGTTAAGATTATGGGTTCGGCTTAAAGAAATCCAATCGGTGAACGAACTGTTCCTTGATAAAACCTATGCAATCGGAATTGTGTTGCCTTGTAAAGCTTAGCTAAAACAATTTTCTAGTGATTTACGTGACAAAATGTGTTAAATACTTGTGTTATATGAGTTATGTGTTGGGCAGATAACAACGGTAGAGAAATTTGCGCTTTAGTTTAGTTTCGTTTTTATAGTCAGCTTACACACACACACACCCACACACACACACAGCAGTTATGAATGGCATATCAATATAAAAAATGTATCGCATTTGAGAGTTACATTTAGCACTAAGTTTTGCGTCAATGGAGCTGACATCGACCTGTTGGTTTGCAACGGGGGGCGTTGGGGGGGGGGGGGGGGGGGGGGGCAAGCGATTGCCCAGAAACCGAGTTTGGACGCGCCAAATTCGGATTGGGTTTTATTTGTGCTAGCTGTACATACAAATTTCTAATTTACTTTATATTTTTTAGCGTGTTTATTATATAGAAAATTCATTTGGCAAGCACTTCACGCTTTGCTGCATTTGGTGGCAGCAGCAGCAGCTGTTGTTGTTGTTGCTTTGGCCAATATATGTATATAAACGCGTTCGTTTTTGGCCAACATTTAATTTGTTTCATTGTTGGCTAGCAACACACACACACACACACGCACACACACACTTACACACAGGTGCTGCTTGTATTGTTATTGTTGCAATTGGATTTAGTCGAGCACTTCCGTTAAATGTGTCACAGCGTAGTTAGATATATTCGTCTAGTTCTCAGGTATTATTGACAAAACAAAAAAAAAGATAAACGCGCGCTTTGCATGCATTTAGCTGTCAGTTCGGATGGTATCTATGAGATACTTTCCACTTTCAACAACCAGACAACTAACTATGGATGTATTTATGTATTTGGGTATATTATAGCAAACAGAAACCTCGGTCACGACGACGACGACGACGACGCAAGCCAAAAAGAACTTCCGATTCCGATGCCGATGCCGAGAAACGCAATGTTTGGGAGTTCGCTTTTGGGTTTTTTCAAGCTTTTATTTTAGTTTTGTTTGTTACGTGCTCTCCGCTGTGGAATCGGACGACGTCTGAAAGGCGCGACTGCTCGGTACTAACTGAAACTGGCCACAACGCTACGAAAATTGGCAAAACAAATGAGTAACCAAGCCAACTTGGTAGCTTGGCAACAACAACTCAACAAATGCCCAAAGCGCTTTCGGGCATACAAAGAGCCAAAGAGAGAGCGTGGCTCTTAAGAGAAGCACGCGTGCCTAAGAGTAGTTATCAGGGTTGTCGAGTATTGACAAAATGAAGTCGTATGTAAGTTAAGTGAATAGATAAAACCATATCTCCAAGGTTGCTTAGATATGAGTGTGTAGCAAATAGATTAGATAAAAATGCAATTGCAGTGTTCTTATAAGCCCACATATATCAATAAACGATAAACGAGTTGACACATTTTTGAATAACGTTTTTATTCGTTTACTTGTTTATAAAGCTAAAAGAACATATTCTTACCGTATGAGCTGATATATGTTAGATACTCGAAACTTGGAATATTTATTTGAAAACAGAAAACCATTAGGATATGGGGAAAATGTATATCTTACACAGTGTCAGAGCTAGAATGGCAAATGCAATCAGAATAATAAAGATGAGCGGCGCTTAAAATCGATTCAAAAATTTATTTTGGCGACATATGACACATTTATACTAGTAAATTTTACAAGTAAAAGTCTATTATTGGACTATAAAGGAGACTATAAAACATTCTTACTGCTTAGCTTACTTATCACATATTTGGTGTACTTTATGAAGAGATCTGAAGTAGAGTACCAACAATATTGCGATCAATTTTAAAAGTCTGCTAAAATGTATGTTAACATGCTTATGTTATAAAGGATTTTTTTTTTCATTCCTTTCAGATATACTTTTGATATGTAAACAGTTTGACAACATCTTTATGTTATAAGCGATTTTTTGACAAGACATCTGTAAACATCGCACTTTTATTCCTTTCAGATATACCTTTATTATATAAACGGTTTGACAATCCTACATAGCAGAACTCAAAGTTAACCAGTTTTTAAGCAACATCTCTCTCTTAACTGCCATCTGTTAAACTGCGCTTTTCCTCGCTCTTTGCTGTGTGTGCTCTCTCTCTCACTCTCTTGCTTACGAGCTCTCTGTTAACCCTTTTGTGGCTGGCTTACGAAAGCGTTCAAGTGAACTACATTGCATGAGGCGCTCGGTTTGTGCAGGGAGAGAGGGAAAAGCGCATGCAGGAGGCAGAGCTGGACCTGCAAGCCCAAGCGAAACGAAGACGGCGTCAGTGCTGCGAATATTTCAATGGAAATCAAATTTACATACGACGCCCGACCAGACCAGGCCAGACCAGACCAAAGCAAGAACAACAACAATTGGCCACATAAGAGCGGCAATAACAATGGAGCACAGACATAGACATTGGGTCTAGTGCGTGCTACTAAAACTAAATCCCAAGAACCAACAACAAACATGAGCACAATGCACGCCTCGAGTGGCCCAGCCAAGTGAAGACGCCTCAAGCTCAAGTCTTGCGGCGCTTGCTCCATTGTTCTGGCCGACCCAGACCGGAGCCCCAGCTCGGACAGCCATCTCCTCAAGCCATTAGCTATGTCATGGTGTGTGCCCGGCCATTGCGTGGCCTTTTGTTTATGTTTGGGGCGTCTGTTGATTGTTGATTGTTGATGGCTACTGTTTGGTCGTTTACCAAATTGAGCTTTTGGCCATCTAGTTGGAGCTATGTAATTAACCAGGCGTGACTAGCCGAACCAACAGAATATTGTTGTTTTTTCTTTAAAGAGTGAAACCTTTGCGCTTCCGTTGTCTTCATCTGAAGTTGATGTCTTGCTATTTCTTTGCAACTGAAACCGGCTTTGGGGCAACCCTCTTCCTTTCCAACATTTGTAGGGCATCTGCTTGGAGCTTGTCCGATCTTCAGTCACTTGTAGCGTGGCATGTTCTTGAGCTGCTTTACAGCTTTACAGCTCTTGCACTCTCGATCTTGCTGCGGTCACTCAGAAGACCATTGCAACTCCTCGCCCCCCCACTCACATCGGGTGGCGCCCAAACTGGTTTCAGTTTTGTACATTTGTGTTTAATTATTTCTTTTTCATGATACCCTGTGCTTTGAGGGAGCACGGGGTATGCTAAACTAGAGTTAGCAAGTCTCTAGCTCAAGGAGCTCGAAAATTAAGATTCCTCTTAATAACCGAAAAGATACCTTCAATTAACCGAAAAGATACTCAAGTAAAGACTCTCTTAGAAGCAATAAATAATTCCAAGTGATATCTAAAAAAGTCTAGCTCATATATTTGTAATTAGAGACTACTTTGATAGATAGAAAAGATAGCTTCCTTTAGTCAAAACTTCGCTGTAAGCCTTGAAATATGTATATCCAATCTATAGGTCTGTAAAAGTCTTTTTTAAATCACATCACATCTTTTCCAAATGGGACTAACACATCAACTTTGGAACTAAAGACTACTTTCTAAGTGAGAACAAAATTCCAACGAGAAATTCTGAAATGAGGAATCGCCTAAAAATCATATATAAATTTATCTAATTAAAACAAGTAAGAGGTTCTAGTCGGGAGCTCCCGAGCTACCCTGAACCCTCTTCTTCCAACATCAAATGCATACATATTTTCTAGTTTGGTGACTCTAGGTCTTATTATTTAACAAAATTGCCCAAAAAACAGGATATCGATATCGATTTTTATCGATTGCTTGGAAACGAAGTAAGTTATCGATTATCGGAAACAAACTCGATCTGCGCAGGCACTAGGAGCACCTACATCTAAAATTTCAGTCTCTAGCTCTTATAGGTTCTGAGATCCTTGCGTTCATACATACGGACAGACGGACATGGCTAGATCGACTCGGCTATTGGGGCTGATCAATAATATATATACTTTATGGGGTCGGAGATGCTTCCTTCTGCCTGTTACATACATTTGGCTTTCGCACAAATACAATATACCCTTATACCCACTTTTAATGGGTTCAGGGTGGTTCTTCTTGGATCTAGCAAAAAAATTTTGAATGTTAAGACTTCAGTGAAAGAAAAAGCTGCCTGAAGAAAGGTCAAAAGCCTGATCTGGTTAAAAAATACTTGTAATAACCTAATCTCTTGCCAGTTAATTTCCTAACTTTAAAAATTGCTCGTTTAATTGATTAGGTACTTAGGGTTAAAGCATTTATAGGGTATATACCACGTCTGGCAATTGCGGCGCTTCTGTTCTGACATGCCTTATAATACCATAATTATGCTGTTTTTAGCATTTGGCATGAGTCAACAGCTCTTCGGGGGCATTACAAGCTGTGCTTTATGAGCGAAGTTTTGTGTTTATTTTTTTTTTTGTTATGTATCGCGTTTTGTTTTCATATTTTCGCAATGCAAGCGCGGCTCGTAAGCCAATGACAAGAGAACTTGGCTCGGTCAGTGTGTTGGTTATTGGATATGTGTGTCAGTGACAGTAAAGGATCTCAGCCAACAGAGCGAATCGTGTGCAGCAACATGTTACAGATACAGATGCAGATACAGATTTATTTCAATTCAACATATTCAACAGGTAGCGCACGCCAAGAACCTACGAGTCTCACTCGTGGCCCAGATACAGGGCTAGCTTGGCAGCATATTACCACACAGCCAAAATACCGTAAAAAGGTGAAAACTGGGCGTGAGAATTGGGCATGCGTCCACTTGGGCGAGCCCAGGCCCAGCCGGAACGACACACACGAAAGCCGCTCCATAAAAGTTGGCCAAAGCGAAAAGCTGAACAGAACCCAACGCATAGTCCACATGCCGAGTCGAGTCCATGATCTGGATCGCATCGGAACGGAGTTGGGCCAACAACTTCCGCAAGCGGCGTAATTGAAGAAAGAAAAAAACGGCACGCCGAACATTTAATACCCTTCTCGACATACGGCTTGCATATGAGAGAAATATTGAACACAAAATTTTAATCTTACAACTTTTCTTCGACCGATTTTTTCCATAGAACAATATGATAATGAACTAAGTTTGGCGAAAATATCTGTAGAAATAAAAAGGTTTTCATTCATTTTTGAGCGATAATTCCAATATACTAAAGTGATCCGATGCCGACATATATATTGACACGGACCTATGGAAACTTTCATGACAATATCTGTAAGGACTAAGAGACTAGTCTCCTTAGGAGGCCTATTTTGGCTCGCCTGAACATACTGATCGGGAATATATGTATATCAGATCTATTCCTATGCAAGGGTGCACAAATACGAGTGCAATTAGAGTCAACGCCCGGGGGTTAGAATAATGTCAGCGGGAAGACACGGCCTTTGACCAGACTTGGGGCAATGTGAAAAAGACGCAAGCCGCCAAAGGGAAAATTGTTTTTAATTCACATTGCGCGCGCTTGCGACGAGCGGAGCGGAGCACGGTACGAGATGCGAGAGGGGGGTGGCTCTTCTATTTTGTGTGACCATCATGGTTTATGGTCGGCTAGTGTAATAGTTTCTGAGGCTATTGCAGCTGTTGTTTTTGTTGTTGCTGTCATTATAGTACTGGGTTTTGTTGCTGTAACCAAGCGGCATTGAGCGGCTGCCTTCGTTGCTTTTGCTAGGCTAGACAGAGATGGCAACAAAATAAGCTACTCCGAGAGCAGCTGGCAAAGAGAAAATGTGCGTGCTCTCTCTCTCCCGAATTGCGACCTGTTGATGGAACTTAAGAGCGTCAATTGAAAATTGTGGATGACAAGTGGAACGTAAAATGCTTCGTGCATCTCTCATTAGAATCCAGGCCTTGGTGAATGTATGTAAATGACGGTACATGTACCGAACCCACAGGCAAAGAGTTGGTTCCAGCAGTGAACCGAACCACCAAAATATTGTTTTAGATTTGAAGCCCTGCTAAGATTGAAAACACAGCAGAATTAAAAGACATAGCATTAATATAATATAAATAATATTGATAATAACTGATCTTAATTTGCACTTAAATTTATTAAAATAAAACGCAGTCGATATTTATTAGGCAACATCTGGAAAATATACTCCTTTATTTTAATAAATATGTAAATATATTATATTCTCATATGCAAATTCTATTTGTTTTTCTTTTTGTTAGTTACATACTCAGATGTTTTTGAATTGTCTTTTATTCACATAGTTCTCGCTCCATAGTTAGATAATACATGTTATATAAAAATGTTCGCATGAGTTGATTTCATTACAGGCCTTGTTAGAGAGATACACAGTTACATAGTTTACACATTGATTATGATACAAACATAAATTAAATATTAATAAAAGTTAATGCACTCTTCAAAGCCAGCTAAAGGGCCGTTGCATGTTCCACACAAATCGAACATCGTTGGGAAAACGCAGCCAAAATACAAATACAATTATCAGCAACAATGCAGCGGCCACCATATAAGGCAGATACTGGGGGAAGGATACACGGAAAATTAGTGGATGTTAGTGCTAGCTCAAGAATACGTTAAAAAACTGTTTCGGCGTAAGCGTGTGTGTGTGTATTATTCCAGAAACGGTTTGCCAGACAACGTGAAGACCCAGCGGAACTGGTTCGTGAACTTTCGGACAAGAGTTGAGCTCTTGCATGAAGTTCATGCTCAGCTCCATTACTTGGCAATCTCGCTGTGCAAAACCTTTGTGCTAACCATACAATTAGAAACCTAGCCTAGCTATATTGCCCCGCCCACTAGTCGCACCCACTTAAATCTGTAGCACACGCTTCACATCAACAGTGGGAAATGCGGCAAATTCTCCAGTTGCGGCACGATGCGGCTTCCGCTGCAGATACTCCGTCAATATGTCCGAGGCGAGTCGCGAGGCACGCGTGCATATCTCTGCCTTTTGCGGCAACGGCTGATTGCGACGCTGCAGTGCCACAGTATTGAGATTGGGCATGGATGTGCCGCCGCTGCCTTTGGCCTGCACCTGCAACAGGGACAGCACCCAGGCATGTTTCATTTTGGTCAGCTGCGACTCGAGTGCGCAGATCCGCTGATCCTGCGGCTGTGGCACATAGATCGGCTCCATTTGTTGCAGCTTGGCACGCATATCCTGTGCCTGCAGGCGCATTCGCTCGTTGCGCTCATTGTTGAAGGCACACTTCAGCAGCTGTAGCTCCTCAGCCACCATTGGGGCAGTGCCGGCGGGTGCCGTATAGCTGACATTGGCACTGCTCGTGCCCGTGGCGGACAGATTGTGCAGGGAGGAGTGAGAATCGGATGCCTGACTCTTGCCGGCGCTGGTGTTTAGCTTCAGCTTGTCGCGCAGATCGCTCTTCTCGCTCTCGAGCGCATCGATGTCGCTCTGCAAATGATCCATGGTCTCCTCGAATTCCTTCTCCTTTTGCAGCAGCTTCTTGTGCGTCTCCTCGTACTGTAGCTTCCATTTGCCCACAGCATGCTCGTATTCGTCCTGCAGCACGCTCAGCTTCTTCTCGGCGAGATCTTTGCGAATTTGCATTTCGCTCAGCTCGTTCAGCTTCATCTTGGCCGCCAACTTGAGCTGTTTGATGTCCGCCTCGCGATTCTCCAACGTGGCAGCCAGCACATTCTTTTGCTCCAACTGCTTCTTGATCAGCTGCGCCCGCTGATTGATGGGCGCATTGAGCGTCTGGGCACGCGGAGCTGCGCCAGCGGTGGACATAATCTCATACTCTTTGTCCAGCAGATGTTGGGCAATGTGCTGCAGATCCGTGTTGGCCTGACCCAGCAGCGCCTTAAAGTTTTGCGTCGGACCGCGATCATCCTGCTCATAGATGCGCTCACAGGCGGACGACAGCAGGGACCAGTACTTGTCCTGAGGCAGCGTGTGCTCCGCTGCATTGTCGCTCTCAATGTTGGCCACAATGGCAGCCAACGCCTGCTTGGTGGCCAAATGCATGGCGGACATGATACGACTGATATTCTGGGCCAGGGCGCGCATGGCATCCATTTTGTGCGGCGACAGACCACACTTGATCACATGCTGATCGTTGGGTAGGCGCCGCTTGATCAGCTTCACCTGCTGCTTAATGCTCTCCATATGCTCGTTGAGGAACTGTATGAGCAGCATCGAATCGCTGGTGGCGCCCGCCTCCTGGATAATCACCTTGGCAATGGCAGTATCGTTCAGTATGGACTCACAGGCAGCGCCCAGCGAGGCGACGCAATCGCGTATCATTTGCGTCTCGTTCAGGAGCTGCTCGCCCGCCAACAGTACCGAGTTCATGGCATTGAAAAAGGCCACACACTTCTCAATGTTGTCCGTGGTGCTGTTCTCGTCCAGCTGATTTGACTTGAGCAGCTCAATAATGCCATCGACTATTTTCTCCTGGGCCACCATTTCCGGCAATGAGCTGCCCGCGCGTAGCAGCGTATCCGGCTGGCAGCTATTCAAGCCGTACAGGATTTGATGCAGCGCACACTGCAGATTATGGATGTAGTGCATCAGGCGGCACTTAAAGGTGTATTGCTGCACCGCATGACCCTGGGTGACTGCCTCGCGTGTAACCGCCTCCACGGCTGGGAAACGTTCGCGCGTCTGAGACACCACAATGCCACACTTAAAGACAATGCGCGATATAAGCAGTATGACCAGTATGGAGTCATGGTCGCCGCCACGATTCATAAACGATTCGGGCATAAAGGCAGTTAGCATCTGGACATGTTCGTTGGCCTGGCTCAGCTCAATCTGGCGCAGCTGCACATCAATGGCGCGCGTGTAGGCCTTGGACTCGGCAAACATTTGCTTGTAGTCGATGGTCTCAGTGGCCAGTTTAAGGCTGGGATCCTGCAAGGACTTTTGGTCGCTGCTCGAGCTGCGCTCGCGCAGTTCAATTAGCTGCTCGTTCAGCTTCTGGACGAGCTCGCGGAACTTGGTGATGGTCTGGTCGCGATCGTAGATGGTCTCAATAGCTGCATCGCGTTCGCGCAACACCTCCTTCTTGGCGGCATTGGCTAGATCCAGTTCCTCGCGCAAATCCAGCTCCAGTTCGTGATTGCTCTCCACCAGCTGTTCGTGCACCTCCTCCAGTGCCTCAAGCTGTGCTATTTCCTCCTCCAGCAGCTTCACTTTGTCCTCCAGTTCCATTTTCTTTTCGGCCAGCTGCTCCACCATCTCCTCAGCGCCCAGTGCTGCATCCACTTGTTCCTTGAGAATTGCAATAACATTTGGTTTTTTTTTTTGTGAAATTAAGTTTTTTTTTTATAGTGTGTTAAATGCTTAACGTAAATGAAATATGTTGGAAAAACTTGAGGGGGAAATCAAACATTAAAATAAACTTGAATAATTTAAATTTACCTCCTGCAAGCCATTTTATATATTATTTTTATGTAGGCCGGCAATGAAATCAAATGAAAAATTTCACATTTATTAAGAGTTTGGAGCGACAGAATAGCAATTTTGTAATTTTTTTGTTTTTGTTTTCTATGTGGCAAAAATATTGTGAAAACGCAAAGGAAATTTCAACTACGGCAAAGCAAAAGAGGGTCATGAAATTGTGCGTGTGACATTAAAAGAGAGCGGGAGAGCGAAGCAGAGCGAGAGAGAGAGAGAGAGAGAGAAGCGCAAGCTTATTTATAGGTTTTAAGGCTCTGCTTAAAGCTTGGATATGAGCGTGGTAAATACATATATTCAGGCCTGTTTCCCTTTTCTTTTTAAAGCTATCAGAATTTAAGATTGAATTCATATTTAAAATTGTAATTGTTTTTTCTTTTTTGTATTTTTGATTATTGGCGTTAAAATCTTTTTCATTTTTTTTATTTTCTTTCTATGAAAATAAAGAAGTATTTACAAATTATCATTTCTATTGCTTTAGGAACGAAAACAAATATAAAAACTATTTTCACGCGAATTTTCACATAACTCCTAATTCGGTTATTGGGAATACATGGAAAACAGGCCTGATAGTAGCAACAATATGCAGAGTGCTCACCTGCAAGTCGGCGACTGTGGCCTCCAGTTCATCGATCTTTGAGCTAAGCTTCTCCTTGGTGCGTTCCAGTTCTGCGACCTCGGAGCGTTTCATTTCCAGCTCCTTGGTGAGCTTTTGTATGTCGTGCTTGTCGTGGGCAGTTAGATCACGCAAACGCACCAGCGTATCCTTGAGGCGTATGTTTTGCTGTTCAAGTTGTTTAAATTCGTAGGTGGACATGCCGCCGTCGGCGGTGGCTATCTTGGACTCGGCTTTGTTTTGCATTTCGGAACGCAGCAGATCCAAATCCACTTGGAGCTCCTCAATGCGCTCCTTGCTTGACTCCAATTCCAGTTGCAGCGTGTCGGCTTTTTCTTCGGCCATTTCCTTATCGAGTGTAATCATTTCCACATTGTCGGAGAGCTCAGCCATTTCCTGTGCATGCCTCTCCTTGGCCTCGATGGCATCCTTCGCCTCCTGCTTGGCGCGTTGCAACTCCTTTTGCAGCGAGGCCTGGGATGCCATGATCTTGGTGCGAAATTCTTGCAGCTGCTCAAATTGGATTTTCATCTTATCGAATTCACGAAGACGCTCTTTGTCCTCGCTGCGACGCTGCTTAAGCGTCTCCAATTTTTCTGTAACATCCGCCAGTTGTGTCTGCAGCTCAGCGCTCGTCTTTTGCGCCTCCAACAAGGCAACTTTGTCCTCTGTCGTATTTGGTGGCGCTGTAAACGAAGGCGATCGCATCGGTTGCGATGGTGTAAACTGTGGCTTCAGTATCTCCAAAAAGCCTGTCTCCACAAATGAGGCACGCTTGGTTCCTGCTGCTGATGCAGCTGCAGCTGCGCCGGCTTCCCCAGTTAATGATCCCGTGCTGGAGGCATCCTTATCCTTGCTGCTTGGCGGCGCCAAGGATTTGCGTGCAGCTAGGCTGCTGCTAGATGCAGTTCGCTCGCTCAACGAGGTGGTTAGCTGTGTGCGTGAACCAAGCAATGATTGGCGACTGGATGAGAGTGAGGTGCGTGACCCGCTAAGCCGTGCCTTTGTGGGTTGTAGTGTGGGTGTGGCATTGCCTGAGCCACCGCTGCCGCTTGTCTCGGGGGCCGGTGTTATCACACGCAGCTGCGTGGGCCTCACAAACATGCCGCAATTCTCGTCGCACTGAAAATATTGTTGACCCTTAATGGAGCCGCTATTCTTGCCCTTCGGCTCATCCAACACCACGCCCACCCACTTGCCAACGGCAAAGCTGGTCATGCCAACGTAGGCGATCGTGCCGAACAGCTCCTTGCCGGTCAGTTCGACTCGGGCGCCCACTTTTATGTTTTTCTCCGACATGTTGATGCCGTTTCACTTGGCCAGTTTGTGCGTGTGTGCGTTATAAAACTGGCGTTAGATGACGATGCGTGGTTTGTATTCGTGTGTGTTTGTGTGTGTTTTTGCGTGTTGTGTTTGTGTGTGTTTTTGCGTGTTGTGTTTGTATGCAAAAAGAACGCATTAGAACCGAATCGACATATATACTTCAGGTGAAAATGCAGTACTTACCTTCTTTCTCTATGCGCCTGCTATAGTCACGTCCAGCTTTTAAATATGGCAAATGCCAGCGAACTGATGCCAAAAAAAAAAGAGAGAAACCGAAAAGTGTTGACATCATTAGTCACCAAGGCTTGCACAAGCAACTTGCGCATGGCTACCTAGCCTTCATGCAGTGCACCCGTGTTTTACTTTTTGCAGTACTCACCACTCACTTTTAAAACAAATGTTTATGCTTTGTGCTATTTGCAGCAAAATTCTGGTGAAAAATTCTAAATTTGCAAAAACCCAGACCTGAACAGCTGTAAAGTAGCGGTGTGATTTGCGACGATACCGATCAACTAAATGTGCACTTATCGAACATGCTGATGATGTGACCACTCAAGATATATCGTAAACTATCGTATAGTGAAATGTCGCAACAATCAAATTCACAATGGTTATATATACCATTTACATGAGTGATTTAAATTAAGTTCTGCAAGACTATTATAAAATACCATACATTTATATATGCTATTTGCAGTGGAAACAAAAGTACTACATAATCGAAAATATCCAAAATTTTCAAACTATGGGAGTCTCGCAATTTGCGACGTTACCTTTTAACTAAATGTGCACTTATTGAACATGCCGATAACGTAATCGCTATACGATATATCGTAAACTATCGTATAGTGAAATATCGCAACAATCAAATTCACAATGGTTATAAATACGATTTATATGAGTATTTTCTATTATAAAATAAACTACATTTATGTTTTATATATGTATTATTATATATATTATATATGATATTTTCAATGAAAACAAGAGTAGTGCATAATCCAAAGCATCCCGCTCTTTTAGACGATAGGAGGCTTACAATAGCTTTAACCATCTGGCAGCACTTGTGTTTTGTTTACGTTTTTTGACAGCTGAGCCCGATGAGGAAGGCAGAATATTGTGCACCGACTAGTTTTTGACTCATATAAATTCAAAATGGATGAGGAGGGACATCTACACCGTTTTGGCACACCTTTGGAGCCACTAGAGAAGGGTAAGAACGCCACAAACTTAAGACAGCGCACCAATAATAAACATTTACAGATGAGGTTCCCGCCAAGAAGCCGCTGGCGATTGAGGATCAAATTGTAAAGGATGAAAATGGCAAACGTCGGTTTCATGGTGCCTTTACTGGTGGCTTTAGCGCTGGCTTTTGGAACACCGTCGGCTCACTAGAGGGCTGGACTCCGCAGAATTTCAAGAGTTCACGCGCAGAAAAGGCCAGCAAAGTGCAACAGCGACCTGAAGACTTCATGGACAAGGAAGATTTGGGTGAATTTGGCATAGCCCCCCAGGGTATACGCACTCGAGACGAGTTTGCCAAGGAATGTGAGCAAGAGCAGCGTTCGGGCCAGCGCAAGCGAAAACTTATGCAGCCAGAGATCGCTGGGCCCATACCCGGCGTGCCCGTGCTCGAGCAACTGTTGCGTCCTGTACGCGATAAGGTAGCCGTGCGCATACTAAAAAGCATGGGCTGGAAGCCAGGACAGGGTGTGGGACCACGGCAAACGCGGAAAGAAAAATGCCAAGCATCTGCGCGCAACAAACGGGAACAATATCTGTTGGAGCACTATGGTGCTGAGGGATTGCCAAGCACGAATACGCAAAGGGAGAGTGAGGCTGAGGATGAGGAGGCCGATGACCAAGACGAGGACGAAGACATAACCTTTGCACCTGATGACTATGAGCCCATGTTTTATACACCTAAAGACAATCGCTTTGGCATGAGCTACTCGGGCCTCAGTCGAGCGCCAGTGCTGTCGAAGAGTAGCACGATTGCGGCGCCAATGCAGCACATCAATCTCTTTGGTCATCTTGAGGAGTCGGCCAAGCACAAACAGTTGTCCATACGCGGCCAGGCGTTTGGCGTGGGAGCATTCGAAGAGGAGGACGAGGATATCTATGCCAAGGATGACATGACGCGCTACGACTTTTCATTGGCCGACAAGCAGCCCAAACAAAAGAAGATAAAACATGTCCAGCAGCGTCATGTCATCGAAGGCTTCAGCGAGGACAAGAGCGATACAACCCACAACAAGCCGTATGTCATTGATTTGCCCCGCGATTTTCAGCCACGGAACTGGCTGCTGCGTCGCAGTCGATTTGCGCCACTGGATGCGCAGCGTGCACGAAAAATAGCTGAAGAAACTGAACACAAAAAAGCAGGCCTGGGTAGGCATGATCTAAACCCGGAGCAACGCGCTCAGCTGCTGGGTGAGTCGCAGGCAAAAAAAAATCCCTTTAAGACCGCCAACAGCGTCAGCAGTCAACAGGAGCGCAGCAAATCCTTACTTGAACTCATCAGCGCCAAGAGCAACAACTTTACAAAGGGTGGACTCATTACCACAACCGGTGAAGAGCAACCAGCAGCACCAATAGAGCTAGGTATGGAGCTGCAGCAATCTAATGCCGCGCTCTTGGCTCAGGCTGCCACCAAGACTCAGAACTTAGGTTTGTACCCGTTTGAAATAGTATTAAAGGTCCCTAAATTATACGGTTTTTTTATTGCAGCTTCCACCACGCCAGCCAGCGGATTTAAACCCTTTCTTGAAAACGAATCCAAGCAGTTGCGCTATGAAAAATTTCTGGCCTCAAATCTAAAAGACGACACAGAGATTACCGAATTTCTGGCCGAATTGCAGCCAGTGACGCTGTCTTTGTGGGATCGTGAAATGGAAAAAAAGGAATTTGTGCAGGCGGCCAAAATATATCGACCGCTGGCCGGTCTTATGCTCGACAGATTCGTTTCGGAGGCAACAGTGCAAGCACAGAAATCAGAGGAGCAAGTGCAGTCAGCAGAACAGCATAAAATAGTTATGGAACGCACGAAGGCCATGTGGAAGCCCAGCGCATTGCTGTGCAAGCGGTACAACATTGCGGAACCCTTTGGTGGTGCTCTGCCAGAAGTTGAAAAGGAACTGAAAGCCAAGTCCAAAATGTCCATATTTGATTACCTAGAGACTTCGGTCAATACCAAAGCCAATTTCCAAACGCCTACAATTATACCCAAACACATTGAGGCAGCCAAGCAGCAGCAGCAGCTGCCAAAACTGCCGATGCTGGTGCCTGCAACAACAACAACAACAACAGATACAGCAGAGGAAGAGGTCACAGCTATTCCGCCTGAAGCACCAAAACAGCCTGCCAGCAGCGCAACAGTTAAGGCTACTTTTGTAGCGAAGACGCCACTGGAGCAGGCTGTAGATGCGGCACGCGACAAGCCCATTTCTGAAAAAACTGATCTCTTCAAGAGCATATTCGATGACAGTGACGATGAACAGGAAACAACAGCTGCGCAAGAGCAGCAGGCCGATGTCCGATTGGATGCCATGCAGGCAGCTCTGGGCTTGCCCAGCACCACTTCCACGTCCGCGGCGGCAGCCAATGTGCTCCGCAATAATTCGCCACCACGTGGTATATTTGCAGCGCTCTTTAAACCAGCGCAGGAGCAGCAGGATACCAAGTCTTCCGACCCGGCACCAGTTAAGTTTGCGCCCATTGCAGGCAACAAGCTGAAAATTGCTTATAAGCCTCGCGAGGAGCGTTTGAAAAACGATAGGGAACTGGCCATGGAACAGGTGCCCGACGTGGAGCTCTATGGTCCCAAGCTGCCCACCCAGTTGAAGCAGGCCTCACCGGACGGCGCCGTACAGGCCGAGGCAAGCATCGATGCCAAGCTGCAGCATCTCTGGCAGCAGCATGCACCAAGCAAACGCAAAGCGGAGCATTGGGTAGAACGCACGCTCAGCAGCAGCGATGATAGCGATGAGGATAGCTCCGACTCCAGCAGCGATGACAGCGACGCAAAGGCCAAGAAATCAAAATCCAGGAAGAGGCACAAAAGTGCCAGCTCCAAAAAGTCCAAAAAGTCAAAACAAAAGGCTAAGAAAAAATCCAAAAAGAGCGAAAAGACGAAGCACAAGTCCAAGGAGAAGAAAAGCAAACGTAAACACTAAGATTTGAGATATTCGACTTTAGTTATAAGCATATCTTATTTTAAGTTCAAATTAACTTCAAAACTAAATACATATTTGTATTTAATGATGATTTTGAATGTTTTGTGAACGGAATTATTCGTACATATAGTTGTAATACAGTTGGAAACCGATTCCGTCAAAGTTTGGTGATTTCTTGGCGATTATCCTCAATCGATTGTAGTTCACCGAGAATGCCTCCGGCTCGGTTCGGCCACAGAAGGTATGACGCAATTTCTCGCTGTAGTCGGGCAACACTTCGTAAATCTTAATATTATCCAGCGGGCAATTGGTCTCAGAGCCCATATCAAAGCCTAGGGAGTACAATATTAATACAATACGAATCTATTTCAACTCTTCAAAACTTACTTCTGAAACTGAATTGCAAAGTTTTCCCCGCTGGAACGGATATGCGCCAACTGCACTCCGAGTAATTACGGTTTTCATAGAAAGGATTGGAGATCTGACCTTCTAGGCTGGTTAAGTCACCGCCGCAGCCTACAGGTAATTTGCTGCTCGAGGCGTAATAGAACAGCTGCAAATATCTGACCCCCAAGCCCCAGAGCCGTACCGCATTTGTAGTGCTATATTTGGTAACGTAGGAAATATATCGTCCCTCTGTTGCGTTATAGATAGACCGGTTTGTCCGCAGATCCGTCATCTATATATTGTTGGTAAATATTTTAACATTCATGTTGAACGTTTATATCTAGAAGTACTTACATTAAAGAATGTCCTGCTTGAGTAGTACTCGAAGTTGAGGAACATTATTTCAAATGTTAAGTAGTATTCTTCTGGGACGCGTATATAATTGATGCAATCATCAAGCTCATTCTCATTGTTAGTATAGTATTGGATCATGCGGTTCAGCGCGTTGTAAGTACGATTACAATCTATAATATTTATTAATAAATAATAATTATATCGACTAGTAACAATCATATCGATCAGAGGTAACAATAAAGTCACAAAATCATATTTGAAAGTCAAGTAAAAGGTCTTTTCAAAAAGAAAACAATTAGGAACATTTATCGTCAGAAGGCTTGAGTTTAAATGAATGTATATATTTGGATTTTCTCTTTTATTACTTTTATGCCCCTCTATGCGATTCTCATGCTTTCATATAGCACTTAAACTTTAAATGTGTATTAACATATAAATATTAACTTTCCTATCTCTTTCTCATTTCTCTTGTCAGTTTTGTATATAAAAGTCTGTATTCGTCCTACTCATAAATGTGCTCGTGAATATTGGGAAAGTCCATATTTGCTTATATATTAACAAGAAGCAATTGAGACTATCTGAGGAGTTTTGTCAAGATATCTAGATAAGAAAAAATGCTTTTAATGCAACAACTCAATTTTCGACCGATCGTTCCTATGGTAGCTATATAGTGGTCCGATCCAGCTGATTCCGACATATGTACTGTGTGCTCCTGCAAAGTTTTGTAAAATTAGCTTTATAACTAAGAGACAAGTTCGCATGGAAACGGACAGACGGACATGGCTATATCGACTCGGCTGATGATACTGAACAAGAATATACATTTGGTATACTTTATGGTGTCGAAGGTGTCTCCTTCTATGCGTTACACATTTCGCGACAAAATTATAATACCCTCTGCAAAGGTATACAAATATGAACTTACTTGTTTTTTTCTTAAGTGTTATATCAAACATATACGGTGCTTCTTGTCCAGTGCTGTGGAACGTTAAATCGAACTTGACGTCTTTCGGCATTTCCAGAATGGTATTATTAAATTTACCGCAATAATACTTGTTGGTTTCCTGAGAAGTAGGATATTTAAAGCTAAATGCTTTCAGTCTATTTCAGGCTAACTCACATCTTTCACGCTTAGAAGTAGGTAATCGATGCATTTCCCTGTCGACTGTGACACATCCTGGAGCTGCACCGAATGTATGTCAATTTCCATCTCGTCCTCTGCATTGAAGTGAAAAACACAATGAATGCTGCCTTCATAGCCGCTGGTTACGTTGTTGCTATCCAGGAATATATGTACCGACTGTAGGTGCAAAAGAATTGGTTAAAAATAGTAACTGGGCTGAGGATCAGTTACTCGCCTCATTGGAGTTCCGTTCGACATCCGTCTGGCCACAGACCGTGGTCTCCATTTCCAGAATCAGCTCAAAACTGATGCCATTCGGTTGGGCCTCAGATCCGCTCAGCTTAATCAGCAAATCCTCTCTCGAACTGAAGAGTTTCGATCCGTTACCGACGACAGCATAGTAGGTGCCCATGCTGGCGCTGCCTTCCCCGAAGCCATCGATCACTTCGAGCGAGTTGCAGGTAACGCAACGATTAGTATTCAACTGCAGTTGCTTCAGCCACACGGAGAGGCGGTAACCCAGCGGCACACTGGCCCGGAAATAGCAGTGCAGATCGTCGCCATTGGTGCCATTGAGTTGGTAGTGACGCACCAGGCTCATGCGTGTGTTGCCCTCACCCAAGGCCAGGCGCTCATTGCAGTTGGGCGTGAAGTGCACACTGGCCATAAAGCCGCGTCCATGAGGATCAATGTAACCTTCCAACTTGGCCAAAATAGTCGCCTGATTGCTGTCCACCATGTAAGTGAGCTCCGTGAGATTGCCGCACAGTCGGGCGACGTTCTGCTCCTCACTTACCGCATTGCCCCGATAGATGCTAACATGATCGTGCCGACAGAGCGGGGTGCTCTCAATTTCAAAGTACTTGAAGCGCACGAATATCGCATGCTGCGGCGGCGCCAGAACATGCCACTCACAGCTGAGATCGTTCGCATAGCTGCCCTCCGTATTGCCGCGTGGCGGACGCAGTGTAAAGGGTGTCGTGTAGTTGCCGCCACAGCCGACTAGCTGGTACTGCAGTTCGAAGAAGCGGCCCAACGATGCCATGGATACAAAGTGCAGGCGCAGTCGTTCATAGCCGCTCACCTCAAAGTCCGGACAACGTTTGCCAATCAGCTGCTCCTGCTGTCCATACTGTCGATAGGCATCGAAGTAGGCATATCGACAAGCTACCTCGTTCCACGCTCTGCCTTTGCCCTTGACGCTGACCAGCAACTGGTGCTTGGTATCGGTGCTTATCTCAAAGTTGCAGCTCTGGCTCCTCCAGCGTCCCAGTAAGCCGCGAATGCTGGGCAGCGTTTGCACCTCGGTGCTGGCCACCAACTTGGCATCGCAGCTGGGAAAGACGACAAAGGTGAAGCCATCGGCCGTGATGTTGGCATTGGTGCGGAACACAATGCGCATGCGGCTGGCCTGAATGTGCAGCGGCTGTGGCAGCTCCCGACCGCAGTATTTGGCAAGGGGCTGCCATATGCCCAGCTGGTAGCCGAGTACCTCCAGCTGATCGTTGCTACAGTTGGGCGCCATCTCAATGAAGAATCTGCCCTGAAAGACCAAGCGCAGCGACATGTTATAACTCGCCTGGAACTCCCAGCTAAGCTCCATATTGTTTCTATAGCTGTGCGCATCGATTGCCACCGGCGGTGTTGGCTGCTCCCCAACCCGTACTATGTTGCTCCAGCCGCCAAGAGATTTGGGTCGACTGGCCTGCAGCTGGAACTGACTGTTGCCGGCGCGATACTGTGTGGCATGGTAGAGCACCTTGGCCTGTGAGAATTCCAGCAATGTGGTGTTCAGCTGCGTCGTACCGCCGCAAATCCTGGCCAGTTCACCACCGCCAATATTGCGAGATATGATCAGATGCTCACGATCGCAACTATTGCTGAAGCTCACATTGCCACGCAGCTCGTAGCCGTTGGCATTTCGCAGCGTCCACACGCACTCCAGTTGGCCAAAGTGTTCACTCAATTGGGGCAGCTCAATTAAGCTGCCCTCCGCCAGTTGCAGCTGTCCGCCGCAGGCGTAACGGCGATATGTGGCCCGGAAATGCATTGCATCGAGTCCAACCCTTTTGAGCAGCACAACTTTGCCGGCTGTGGTGGCCAGCGAAAAGGTGGCGTTGCCAGAGCTCACACTTATGGTAGTCTGAAGCACATCGTCATTAAGGCGAACACCCATCAGATGCTGCTCCACATTGCGATACTCCTGGACGCTGAAGCTGATCGTTTCGCCAGGATCAGCCACAAAGCGTACTTCGCAGTAAAAGCTGGGCAGATTGATGAGCTCCTGGTCAGACAACACGCCCACCGCCTCACTGCCTATATCCGGCGGACATGGCGAGGCTTCACTGGAGCTAAAGCGTGCGCGAAGTGTAGACATTTGATTCTTAAGCAGAATGCCAGCCAGCATAAAGTTGTCCGTGGACTCAATGGTGCCGTTGCCATCGTATTCGTTTAGATTGAATTCAATTATTTTGGACAGAAAGTTGGGATCATTGTAAAAGGCGAAGGGCTTCCTTCCGGACCATGCATTGAGGCGATGTCGGCTGGGGAACATAATTCAATTTATTATAATGTGAGATCGCGAAATTTTCTACCAACCTCATACGATCGGGCTCTTCGGATGCACGCAAATCCGCCAGATTGAGCAATTCCAGACGCACACGTTGACCCTTGGGCACCGTAATACGCCATTGACAAAGCCTCAACCTTGTCTGGGTCTGGAGTTTTCTGATTTCGAGTCCGCCGGACGCAGCATTCACCACACGATTGCAGGAGCCATCTTGTGCCTTGTACTCCAGCTTGAATCCCCGATAGTTGTGGACGGTCTTCACCGTAACGAGGCGCAGCGCAATCGCATTTGTGCTCAGTGTGACGGGATACGGTGTGCTCACATTGCCATAAAGAGTCATGAGGATGCGACGCTCATCTGTCAGATCCAGAAGCTCGATGCGATCAATAGACGCAGTTTCCGGTTCTTCATCCGCCAAGCCATCGAATGGCAGATGCAGATCACTAAAGTTCAGTTGAATGTGTCTGTTCGTTGGCACCTTTATGGTGTACTCGCAGACGGCGGGCTTGGGATAGGCGCCCAGAGATGGATAGTGCTCCGATTTGATAGCGCCGCTATAGCTGGTAAAGTGGCCGCCGCAGCTGCTGATCGATACATTCAACCGGAAACCGCCATGCGGCTCATTCAGCTGCGTCTGATAGTGCACCAGGAGCAGATTACCGGAGCTGTATGTCGTGCCCGTACGCCGGCAGGTGTGCAGCAGTCGACGAGCCAACGTTGTGGAGCCATCGTACATCTCCACAAATTCCTTGTCGCAGTTGTGCAGGCTCAGGTCAAAGTCATCCACGAAGTTGGCTGCAATGGTCTCGCCTGGTGGCGCTATAACCACCCAGGTGCAGTCCGAGTGAGCATGCGGATAGTAGGGATAGCCGGGCGTGCTGATATTATAGCTGCTCGCCTGCTGGGTAAGACGCACCTCCGCATCGCATTCACTGAACTCACGGTACGTGAGATTCCAACGATTCTGTTCAGGATTTAGTAGGGCTATTAAGTGTGGAAAATGGTATGTGATGTACGCATGCGGTCCGCTAGTGCGATAGCTGCGTGACGCAAAGCCCAACTGGTTACAGAACTTGCCAGCCCCTAATATCGTGGCCGCTGCATCCAGACCATCGTGAATGATACCATAGTGCGGGCAGCTGGCATTGAGCGCAGCTCCATTGTAATCAATTGTGATGTCGATGACCCTACCGGGCCGCACCTCGATGTGCCATTCACAAGTGCTATCGTTAAAGTCCATCCGCTTTTGCGTGTGTGAGTTTAGGATTGTGCCCACGGAGCCGGTCATATTTGAGCCACACTCTGTGCGCACGATGGACCTGAAGCCGGTGCCATTGACTGTTGCATCCGTGACAAACTGCAGCCTCAGGTTCGGAGTGCCGTCCACGCGTCTTAAGGAATGCCCATTATACTCGCTGCTATTGCAGATGCGCAACTGCTCCGGCCAATCCAGCAGATTGCTCGAGCTTTGCACGCTGAGATAATCAGCTTGGCACTCACTCATGGCCTCCAGCCGAACTTCAAACAGATCGACATAGGCGTGTTTCGTTGGATCTGCCAGCGTGAAGGTCCACTCACAGTTTAAGTTCGGCTTGTAGCCGTGCGGATAGCCAGGTGAATTGAGATTAACCACTGCATTGTCCAAGGTGTATACCTTATTGCACTCTTCGCTCTTAAGCGTCACATTCGATTTGAGCTCTTCGCTGCGTAGGGCACGCCACTCTATTCGGAAGGCATCGAAATCCGTGTTCACAGTTTTCAAATAGATCACATTGCTGCTCGAGGTGAACTGCCAGGGCGAGGATCCTATGCTGATGGGCAGCGCAGAGTCGTCGAAGCCATCAAACAGCTGCAAGCATGCCAGGTTCTTATCTCTAGCTACGTTATATAAGGTGTCCGTATAAGCTGTCACTTACCAAGAGTCCCGTATTGTACTCCTTGAAGTCCAAGGCCAAAACCCGTTCGCGCTCTGTAAAGATGCGCCAGCTATATGGTTGATCATCCCCGCGTACCGCCACCGTGGAGGGCGATTCGATGGTGCCATTTGTGCCCTCCGTCAGCTCGTTGTCGTGCACTACAAGCAACTCCTGTATTAGCTGCTAAATAAATTCAATACCTGGCCATACTTACCATAGATCCAGCGCAACTTGAAGCCATTGGCGCTGCTGCCAGGCTGACTGCGAAACTTGAGCCACAACTTGGTTCGGACTAACAATGGTTCAGCGGGCAACTCCTTGCCGCAGTACAGGCCCAGCACGGCGCCCAGGATGCCGGCTCGCACCTCCAGAAAGTCCGCATTGCAGTGCTCCGATTTGGCAATGTCCACTGCCTCAAAGTTTAGCTCGATGGCATTGCCAGCACGCGGCTCAAGTAGCCACACGCACTCCACATTCGCCGGATAGCTATCCGGATAGCTTGGCGAGCTGAGTGTGCCGCGCACAGAGGTTATATTGCCACCGCAGGAGTTCTCAATGGTGGTATACTGCGCCTCCAGCGCGATGCCTTTCGATTGGATGCGCACCTTGTTGGTTGGTAACAACAAATTGGCTGGATGCTCCTGACATAGATTGTAATACTGGACCTCGTCCTCGTTATTTAAGATGCGCAGACCTGCGGTACAATTGCCATCGGCAGCTGTGCACCGGGGACAATCCAGCTGGTTTATGTTGAGACTGATCTTGCTGCCCTCCGGCCCAAAGATTGTCCAGTAACAGTGCTCATCCAATCGCGAGCGTAGATAACCCTCACTGGCTATCCGCCCACCGCCGCAGATCCGCTCATAGTGCAGCGCGAATTTTCCCCAGAAGCCCGACGACACCTTGAAGTGCAAGCGCAATCGGTTCTGTACAATAACCGCACTGGGAGGCTTATCGCCGCAGTATCGCTCAATGAACCGCTCGCTGTTTCCGGCCTTCGTGCTCGAGAGCTCCAGCCAGGCGACGCTGCAATTGGACGAGTCGGTCAAGTTGAATGGCTCAAAGTGTAAGAGGAAGCTGTGGGTGTCTGCTACCTGTAATGGAAGCTTAAGTGAGAACAAGTCAGAGAGTGCCCGACTAGAAGATACCCTGTACGAATGCTGTTCTTCTATGCCCTGCGACAATGTCGAACCTCTTAATGCTGAATTTAGTGGAAGTCTCACCAAAGAGACACAGATCATCTGTGTGGTATATGCTAACTATCTTCTCTTATAGTCTCCGATACCGACGCGCTTATACCGACAGAAGCGCATACAGCTCAAGGCCGGATCAGACCTGGAGTTCCATGTTCCCCGTTCTATAGCCATAAACTAAACCTGCGACAACAAATTAAGGGTTGGCAGCACTGATACAGACAGACATGGTTTTCGTTCTGATTAGGGCTACATAGTGAAAAGCCCCTGGGCGGACAGGGAGGAGTCTCCGCCTGAGAGTATCCGCTCAATAGCGGGCGAATGGGTACGGCCTGATGCAAAATAGTTGTGGAGAACATCGCCGCTCAAGCAAGGTGTCACTGAATATAATTTCTTAGACCTTCCATCTGTGATAATTATTAACAAAACTGCAAAATACCCGTTTTTAAGAAACTGTAAAGAGTACAGGGTATAAGATAGTATGAGCACAAATATATACAATCTACTTGCCTCTAGAGTCCATACGCACTCCACATCCTTATCATAGATGTCGTGGCCCTGCTCATAGAAGCCGGGAGAGGTGATTGTCCCACTGCTCAGGCTCATATAACCGCCACAGACGGCTGGCACCATGACATAGCTGGCTTTAATATATTTGCGGGCGCGTTGCGGACTGCTCTGGAAGCGCACTCGCAACTCGTTGGCTGGCGAGATGAGCGTTTGTACATTCGACTCCACTTGGCAGCTGCGCAGCAATACTTGGGATGAATTTCCGCCGGGCATAACCGTCAGCACATCCTGGCTGCAGTCGCCCTGCGGCGTCTCGATGTGCAGCTCACGCAGGAGCAAACGTATTTGATAGCCCTCAGGCACAGTAATTGACCAGTCGCAGTCTAGACCAACGCTGTAGGGTGCATTGGGCGTCTCGAAGGTGCCACCAGGGCCTTGCAACTCATCGCCGCAGCCCAGGCGCTTGTATTCCGCATGAAATCCCTGCTCCTGCTCCGAGGCGTCGCTGTTGAAACGGATGAGCAGGCGATTGCCCACGCTGGTAATGTCCAGATCTTTGGCGCTGCACAAACGACGTTCGCTGATCAGCTGTTCGTCCCGATAGTCGCCTAGTAGCACATAATCGAAAATGCAATTGTCAGAGTCCGTCCGCTCTACCGCCAAGTGGGAGAAGACCAGTTGGATACGATTGCTGCTCGCACCGCCGCGAATGTCCCACTCGCAGTTCGTGTTGGTCGGATAGTTGTCCGGAAAATTGGGCGTTTCGATGGCGCCGCGCATCTGCTCCAGCCGCACCTGGCAGTTCGTCGTGTAATCCAGCACAAAGTTAATGTCTTCGGGCGTCTCATTGTCGACATTATAGCGCACCAGCACCCGATTGCTGCTGGCCTCCAGGTTCATCTGTTGACCCGCGCTGCTGCAGTTTAGTCGCAGCTGATTGCTGCGCGTGGTGGGCCCATCGTAAATGGTCAACTGTCCATTGCACACATCGTCCCGGCTCTGCAGCTGCAGCCGCACAGTGGAGCCCTGCGCCACGCTGATCTGCCAGTCGCAGGCCACTGCACCACTATTGCCTGCCACGTTGTGGGGCGAGTGTATGGCGCCCATCGACGAGCTCAGCTTGCCGCCACAGCCTGTGGCCGCCGCTTCCCAAATGAGATGGAATCCGGCCTCCTCTACTCCATAGTCCGATTCAAAATGCACGTACAGCACATTCCCGTATGAGGGCAGACGGGGCGGTATGCGGTCGCCGCAATAGCGTCCAATCAGCGGTGATGTCGGCTGGTCTCCATTTCTATGTGGGATAAACCAGATTCAAATAAGAATTAATAGAAGCAAGGAATAGGGAACAAAAATATCAGGTACAATATGGTGGCAAGCTGATGTTAAGCTAAGCTGTTTTAATTAACATAGCTAACAAATTCAACCCCACAAAAGAGTGCATGGATGGGCATTTTCTCAGCCAAATGCGACGGGTGTATTAGAAATCTGTGTTGACAGTCTCAAAATTTTATCCTATACTAATAAAAATCGAGAAAGAACGGCTAACTTCGGAGATTAAATATACTTGTAGACATATGGCTGACAGCTCAACTGTCAGCATTTATAGATCAATGTTTTGATGAAATTCGGTACATGTTGTACTACCAAGACAAATAGCGTCAATTCTGTGTGTTGTTCTTGAATATATCCATGCAGTCACTTCAGTCTTAAGTTCAAGATCGGTCACCTTATCTCCAAATAGTCAGCATAGCAGGCATCTGATGAGGCTTCCAATGTAAAATTCTTAACAATCAGCTCAATGCGACTGCCGAGCGGTGCTCTGATCAACCAAGTGCAATTCTCCGACGGGCCATATTTAAGTGGCCAATTTGGTGATTTTATATTTCCATATCGAGCTGTATTTGTGGCACCACACTCTACAAAAAATAAAAGAAATGCTGCTTATAAAACAGTTTTGAGTTTGAGATTCGATTTGAACTACCTTGCTTGATCGGCTCATATTGAAAAGTAACTCCGTAGGCAGTATGTGGAGAGCTCGTAGCAATTATTGTTAGAAGATTTGAATCGGTGTACTCATCGAATTCGAATTGTTTGTGAGCCTCATTTATATGGTAACTGTGCAATTGTTTTCCCTCTGCGCCCGTGCTGTTATCATATATATATAAGTTGAATGTACCGAACAAAGTCATACAATGGCCTCTAAGATGTTTTCGGCCAGGCGCTTCAATAATCCACTGGCAGGAATGGCGATAAAGATAGAAGTCAACTCCACCACTTGGCGTACTCAGAACCCCACCACAATATGAATTTTCAACAAAGGTATATTCCACACGCAAACCACGACCACGTTGCGGATTGCTTGCACTGTGAAAGACCAATCGTGCTTGATTGTTTGTTGAGATTAGCAATAGATTGGTCAGATTCTTGACGAAACGCTGCTTTTCGCTCTCATTTCGTGTGAGATAAACCTGAGTGAAAATTAATTATTGAATAGTCCAAATATGTCAAGTGAAGAACACTTACGTCCAGATAGTTTAACTGATCCTCCGCTTGAATGGATAGTTCATCGGATTCTAGAGCAGGCGGCTGTGTTTCGCTTAGAGACAAATCGGTAATATTAATGTGTACAACTGCATTTGTAGGTCCCCGTAAATAGTAGGTGCAGTTCAGATTCTCGAAATAGGGATTCGGATAATTGGGGCTGGTTATAATACCACCGTCCGCATCGCTGTAAATGCCGGTACAAGCTGCAGAAAGAGATAATCATCCAAGTGAAATAGAATCTACCCATTATGCTGTAATCAGACCTGTGTGCCAATACCCACCTCTGTTGTAGCGCAGCACAAAGCTTTTGCGCAGCTCGAGGCCCGGCAAGGCATACGCATAGCGCACCAGGACCACATTACTGCTGGAGAGCAGCGGCTGTAGTTCACTTTCCTCCGGTTGTCCGCAGTAGCGACCCAGGAGCGGCAGCTCATCGCTGCGTCCGTCGAAGATCTCCACTTTCTGCAGACTACAGTCCTCGTTGCGCAATAGGTTGATGCGCTGAAAGTTAAGCTCGATCCGAGTGCCATTTGGCTGTTCTATGAGATACAAACAGAGCTCGGCATTCATGTGGCCACTAATGAGGCCGCTCGGCTCGGTGAAGATGCCACCACAGCCCGGATGGCCAGTTACCACTTCGTAGTGCAGCTGGAACGAGCTGTCCGTGCGATACTGATCGGTGTGAAAGTGTATGTGCAATAGATTGGACGAGCTGTGTAGGGGCGCCGGCTGTGCCGACTGGCAGGCCATATAAAGCTGTCGATCCGCATCCCGTACGCTCAGTGAATCCCCGTTGCTGCAGTTGAGCGGAGGGTTGCCTATGCTGTTGCCCAAAGTAATTTCATAGAAGCGCAACAGCCACCGAGTGCCATATGGTGCCGTCAAATGCCAGCGGCAGTCCAGACCGGGCCTTGCCTTGCCTGGATAGCTAGGCGAGCGCAATATTCCACTTTCGCCCAGGGCCAAGGTAAGATCTTCGCCGCACACCAGTGGCTGCGATTTCCAAGTCAGATTGAAACCACGCGCCTGTGTCTCATTGTCTGAACGGAACCAGAAGAACAGCTGCTCCTGGGTGGACACCACACTGCCATTGCCCAATGGCAATCCACTGCCACAGAAGCGCCCAATAAGCCTGGCGGTCAGGGAACTACCATCGTGCAGCTGAACAAAGTCAGCACTGCAATCTGCGCTGGGCTGCAGCTCGAACATGCCAAAGGTTACGTTCAAGACCATGCCGCGCTGCGAGCGTATGATGAAGGCACACCGCTCATTGGGTTGATAGCCACTGTTGTCGCCGGGTGGGAATTGCAGGGTGCCTGTCTCGTTGCGCAGCACGAGGCCGCAGTAGCTGCGCATATGGGAGCAGCTGCTGCCCGTGTAGCCAACGGGACACATGCACTGGTGTTGATTGCCCGGCAGCAGACGGCAGGTGCCGCCGTTGTGGCAAGGATTCGGATGGCAGTTATCAGCCTCTGCGCACACCGCACCGGTATAGCCCGGCTGGCAAATGCAACTGGTGCCGCGACCGCTAAGCACACACGTGCCATTGTTTAGACAGCGATGATCGTCGCAGGGTTTACGGCTAGAATCCTCGGTGCAGCCATCAGCACCGTAGCCGTGCCCATAAAAGCCTGCTCCGCAACTGCATACGACCGTGCCGGAAATATACTCACACTGAGCACGGGGATCGCAAATGAGCTGGTCGTTGCACAAGTTGGACTTGGCCTCGTTACAGATGCGCCCGTCTCCTGTCCAGCCAGGCGGACAGCGGCCGCAGCGAAATGAGCCCTCCGTATTGATGCAGCTGACCAAGGGACGCTGGCTGCAGCCGCCATTGTTGCCATCAGCGCATTCGTTAATGTCACGACAGTTCCTACCGTCGCCTGGAAGGAGAAACTCCGCTGTAGTCTTGAACATACACATCTCAAGCATACGCTTGCCCCACCTGTATAGCCTGGAGGACACGCGCCACAGCGATAGCTGCCTGGTAAATTAATGCATTCTTTGTGGCAGGGATTAACGTCTGGAGCACATTCATCCACATCGCGGGTACAAGGGCTGGCGTTCGCTACGCTGACATTAGTATCCGCCCAGGTCCAGCCCGGATCACAGATGCAGACGTAACCACCAGCATTGTTGGCGGGTAGGCAGGTGCCGTGGCTGCCGCACAGCTCCGCTGATTGATTGGTCAGACATGCGTGTTGACGCAGACGACAGTGCTCGCCAGAGAAGCCATTGCGACAAAGGCAGCTGCAAAATGAGCGACTGCCATTTAGGCGGGATACTGTTGAGTATGGTGCTCCACTTACCGATAGCTGCCCGGCGTATTGATGCACTGGGCATCGTTCTTGCAGACGGTCAAATCGGTGCCGGCAAAGTCGGAGCATTCGTTTACATCGTCCTCACATGTCGATCCCTGGCATTAATAGGAGATATGAAGCATTAATGACAAGGAACAAATATATATGTATTTCAATCATGTATAACATACGATGAGGCTATGGTTCTGTCAATAAATATAGTTTCTATATAATGTCAAACTCGAATTGCGATCTCTATTCATTAAAAGGTTTTAACGAAGCATTATAAAAACAAGCATTTATGTTCAATCGAATGCACCTAATATGTATTGATCTGCTGATTCATGATTCTGCAGGATATTTAACTTTTTGAAATAAAACTTTCCTTTACACTTGAATCATGCTCGTTTAAATATACCTACATAAGTACGTTTAAATTTTTTTTGATATTAATACACGCAACACATTTAACTTGACGATTGGGCTCTAAAATTTTCCAATTAGAGTTAAGAGTATGAAAATTCTGTTTAAATAACATTTTTTATGCAGTAATCAGCCTGATAAATAACATTTTCAAGTTTTAACATATTTGAAGCTGCGAGGCGACCCATTAAGAATGATGTGATAGTGTGTATGTACATGTGTGTGTATGTATGTATGTATGTATGTATGTCTCAAGACGAGTCAACAGTATCAAAGGCGGATACATACATATGTATGTAAAATATAAAAAGCGGATGCCGTATGTTGAGGGAGGGCCAACAGTATAAAAAGGTATGCCGATTGCGCCTGTTTTGTCAGTTTAAGCTGATATGCGACCCAATGCAGAATGTGCTTGAATGTATGTACATATGTATCTAAAATCGTAAGAAGAGCTAACAGCATAAAAAGGAATGCATATTGCAGATCAATGTAAGCTCGCAAGAAGAAGAGCCAGTAGTTCAGTGTCCCATTGGCAGCTGGATTTCAGTTGAAACGGCAAAGTGGCCCCGTTCAGATGGCGTGATAGTATAAAAATGTTAATAGCCGATCAATGTTAGCTTAGAAGAAGAAGAAGAAGAAGAAGAGGCAGTTGTATAAAAAGGCGGGGCTTAAGATGCGACGCGGCACAGTGCATGCAGTAAGCATGTTGATAGCAGATCAATGTTAGTTTGCTGGAAGCAGAGTTAACAGTATAAGTAGGGGTGTCCATTGCAGTTTTCTTTCTGTTTAAGCTGTACGGTGGCGTAGTGCGGATGGCTTAGCTGTGTATGTGTGCGTGTGTGTGTATGTGTTTGGCTGTCTTTTTACCTCGCGCCCCTCACTATCTCTTTTCTCAACCTAATTTGGTTTATTTCGTATCTCACTCGTATCCAGCTACATTTTTAACAGAGCTTATCAACTACGCCCCTTTTTCCTAGTCTCGTGTAGAGACGAAGACGCCCACCCATTGTACTCACTTGCCAGCCGGCGGCACAGACACAGTAGAAGGCGTTATACGCGTCATAGCAGGTGCCGCCATTCTTACAAGGAGTCGACAGACACTCATCCTTGGCGAGGTTAGTTTCGAGAGACGTCAGGGTGTTCGCAATAACCTGAACACGCTGCAGGTCCCGGCGCAGCACACGCTGCGTAGGTCCGTAGCGACGAGTTCCATTCTGCATATTACTTAACCATCTGGCCAAACGCAGCAGATCCCGTTGCACGCTGCGAAACTGTTCCTTTAGCGCGTCCAGGGACAAAGGTTCCCGTCGAGTCGCTGCTGACTGCGCCGCCGCTGCACGCTGACGTCCCTGCAGCAAAGATACGACGTCCACGTCGTTTAGGAGCAGTGTGGCTGCCTCGCCCATGAGGCGAAATGTTATGTTCTGGTCTGTAGCCGCTTCGAACAGCAAGGTACCATCTTCGCTGCCATGCAGCTGGGGCTGGACACGAGCTCCAGCTGCCTTTATCCGTGGCAGGTGTGGGCAGAGCGCCAAAAGACACAGATAGAGCGAAGTCACAAGGTAAGCTTTATCAATATGCATTTTCACACATTTTCAAATTATAACTTGAATTTTTAATTCTTTTTTGCTTCACGTTTCGGGCTATGTTTAAGCGTGGACAATGGCACAAGAACTGAAGCCAGCGCCGCTGTCTTCCTACATTTTATATGCAGTTGGGGGGGCGTATACAACGATTACTCATTACATTTTCTAATTTGTATACCCAATATCCATTGAAATGTGAATTGTATAATGATTCTCTGGAAAGGCAAGCAACTCCGGCCCTATAAGTGTATGTACGAATAGTTTCTACAGCCAAGTCCGTGAATGTGTGCCTGATCTTAGATTAATTTTTCATATAAATTGATTGTTTTGGGCGGCAGCTCAACGCTGGTTACAGGACATCTGCTAGTCGGACACTCTCGACTAGAATACCCTTACTTGTTTCTTATCAAACTGTATTTACACGAAACATGTGGCGTATATTGAAAATATTTAGGTACAAATGATTTATGCTGATTAAATCATATTTTCACTTGAATAAAATAACTAGAAAATATGCGAACTTTTGATTTCGTTGTGGTTTTTACCAAACATTTACTTAACCATTAAAAAACGTTTTGATAATGATGTCAATTGGCCAAGTGTAAATGTGTTTGCTTTTGTTTGTTGCTTAATTCAAGCGAGACACGAGCGGTTCTATGGTGTAATGGTTAGCACTCTGGACTTTGAATCCAGCGATCCGAGTTCAAATCTCGGTAGAACCTGTCAGTAGTATTCTTTTTTCAATTTGACATTTTGTTTTATATTCTCTAAAAAGTTTATTTTTAAATATTTGTCGACTACATGTAAAGTTAAAAACGCATGATAACATGCATTTAATTAATAAAATTGCTCTAACGGCGGCTTCATTATTTTATACCAACATCTTGTCAGTGAAGAGTGGAGGCAATCAAGATTTATCATACATGATCTACATATAGTACCAAAATCGTTTTAATGCTAATCTATAATATTGATTTATTAGCTCATCCCAGCTCGATTCTATCAGATATACTTATTTGATGCAAGTGATCAAATACCCTTCATCTGCATCTCTATTCACTTTATTATGTTTCTTAATTCCTGAAAGCTATGTATATGCAAATAAATAATTCTATAAATATTTGTAGAGGACCAGCCTACATTAGAAATCTGTGTTATCAGCTGCATTTATTGTTGATTCCAATAAATCCAATCAAGTTATCAAGCTCAAATCAAATGGTCAAATATATATATATATTATCATATATTCAAATTTACATAAGTTGATACATGGAAAATTCTAATTGGCATTGACCTTGTGGTGTAATTTCATTTAAAGATCCGAAAGTAAGAATATTCGTATATTTCAAATAATTTGGAACGTGATTCAATCAATGTTAACGACCCTTATACACTGAACATAATATTTGTTAACTTCTTTTAATTAAATTTAATTTGTTTAAAAAAGAAAATTTACTAAAAAAAGTTTATTACTGAATAAAATGTTGATCAACTGAGCTGCACTTTTACAAAATACACGCACCTTATACCTTTTAGGAACACGATTTTGTCTCAGTGTAGCAACAGAGCAGAGAATATATACCGAAAAAAATTAAAACAAATTGCAATGGCAGCTATGACAACGAAAATGAAAGCAAATTCAATTAGTTTAGCAACAAACAGTTATGTACATAGTTATGAGTACTATATATGGGGCCTATGTATTTATAAATCGGAAAAAGCGACTTGTTGTTGTTGTTGCCATGCTTTTTGGGGGCCTGTTGCTGTCGTTGCTCTGCTGTCGTTGCTCTGTGCTCAGTTCCATGCGAGGCGTTGAGTGGAAACGTGCCTGCCGAGTATAGATTCGCATTAAGTATACGCCGCGTGATGCCAGTTTTTTCGAAAATATTGTCGCTGACCGGCTGCGGTAAGTCTCGCAGGCAATTGCGTTTGTCTCTTATATATGGTATATTATAATATATGTATATATATATTCCCATTATGCAATCGTCTTATGCGCGCAGCAGGGAGGCAGCAGCTGCGGCCGTACAGCGCGGCAGCGCAGTCCCAGCTGCGCGAGCTGCTTGGCCAACAGCTGAGCGGCATCCAGGAGGCGGGCACATTCAAGGCGGAGCGCATCATCACCTCGTCGCAGAGCACGCAGATTACGGTGCAGGGCAGCGATCAGAAGATACTCAACTTTTGTGCGAACAATTATCTGGGGCTGGCGGTAAGTTTGCGTATGCGTGAGGATCGGGTGACTCTCTTAATGGGCATGTTCAATGTTTAGAACAATCCGGAGATTGTGCAGTACAGCCAGCAGCTGCTGGCCAAATATGGCGCAGGCTTGAGCTCGGTGCGATTCATTTGCGGCACTCAAGACATACACAAGCAGCTGGAGCGGAAGATAGCGCAGTTCCATGGACGCGAGGATACCATATTGTATGCGTCCTGCTTCGATGCCAATGCGGGCATCTTTGAGGCCATACTCACACCAGAGGATGCCGTCTTCTCGGATGAGCTGAATCATGCGTCCATCATTGATGGCATACGGCTGTGCAGGGCCAAGAAGCAGCGCTACAAGCACCGCAATCTGGCTGATCTCGAGCAGCAGCTGCGCTCGACCGATGCCCGTCTCAAGCTGATTGCCACCGATGGCGTCTTCTCCATGGATGGCAATATAGCGCCGCTGGCACGCATTGTTGAGCTGGCCAAGAAATATGACGCACTGGTCTTTGTGGATGAGTGCCATGCGACTGGCTTCTTTGGTGCCACTGGACGCGGCACTGAGGAGTACGACAATGTCATGGGCGAGGTGGATATTATCAACTCAACGCTGGGCAAGGCTCTGGGCGGCGCCTCCGGCGGCTACACAACGGGACCAGCAGAGCTAATCTCATTTCTGCGACAGAAATCGCGGCCATATCTCTTCTCCAACACACTGCCGCCGGCGGTGGTGGCCGTGGGCTTGAAGGTCATGGACATGCTGCTCAGCTCCAGCGAATTGACTCAGCGCGTCCAGAGCAACACCCAACGCTTCCGCGAGGCAATGACCAAGGCCGGCTTCACCATTGCCGGCGAGAATCATCCCATCTGCCCGGTCATGTTGGGCGATGCGCGTCTCGCCTCCACCTTCGCCGATGAGATGCTTAGTAAGTCGGATATTTAATTTGCCTTTCTCCTCTTTTTGTGTTACATTAAAATTTGTTTTAATTCTTGCAGCGCGCGGCATTTATGTCATAGGCTTTAGCTATCCGGTGGTGCCACAGGGCAAGGCACGCATCCGCGTCCAAATCTCAGCTGCTCACACCGAGACGGAAATTGATCGGGCTATTCAGGCATTTATTGAGGTCGGTCGCTCCCTGAAGGTCATCAAATAAATGATACTATTGTCAAGTATTTTTGTGCTGCATTTATAATAAATCCAGGAATTTTGTTGGATTTACCAAACCAAGCTCAGCTTAAATATATAGAAACTATATTTTATTGAAATATTGTTGACTATTTGCCTGGATATAAGCATTGTTAATCTCAATAGCTGCTGAGCTTCATGCCTATATCTCACTGTTGGACGATTTTTTAACTCTGTCCGACTTTCTCTTTGTAACTTTTTTCGTTCTCTCAATCTTCTCTCGCTCTCTTGCTTTCTATGTCTAACGCCTTATATCGCCCTTCTATGCGATTTTCAAAATTTCAAGATATTTAGATTTTTACGTTTTATACAACCGTGCTCTGTTAAAAGTGCATAAAATATTCGAAAACAATTGTTTTGCGTTGCTTTATTTGGTTCGTCTGATTAACTAAGCTGCTTTTACTATGCATAGTAAGTATAATAATAATAATAAACAGTTTGAATTACACATTTAACTTAAGATTAAATTGCACATTAAATCAATGACTTTTCACAGCGGGGCAAAATGCAGGCGCTGCCCGACTGTTTACATAAAAGCAATAACAAATTAAATACGAGTTACTAAACAATAATTACAAATAATAATAATTAAACAATACGAAAATAAAAAATACTTTTATAAAGCGAGAATTGTGCGAAGATTGGGCTAAATAGTTTGCATAGATGCGCAACTGGAACAAGGATTCGATTTTTAACTGTGACTATGAGAGCTTTGGTTAGTTTATGCATGTGTGTGTATGTGTATTTGTGTGTTGACTGAGATGAGTTGGATTGGGTTAGTCCTTCGTTGACTACTTGTTGACCAGTCCGCGCGCCTTGGGATAAGCTGACGCTGGCTTCTTGGGCGGCACACGGCCCGTGGTCGGCCGTCGGTTCGAGTCGAGAGCTGAGCCCGGACTGGGCAGACCGCTGCGTGTGGACTTGACGGTACGCACGTTGGACGCGGCGCCCACACTGCTGGGTGTGTCATCAGTTGAAGCCGCGCCGCCACTGGCATTGCCATTGATGATGTTCTCGAGACGGGAACGCAACGACTTTGTATGGGTGTCCACAATATCGATGTCATCGCCGGTTTGCATGGCCTGAGCGAGCACCGCCTGCAAGGAGGCAGACACCTTGGGCGTTTTGTACTCTTGTGTTGTGCGGCAGGGCATATCCAGCTCGTAGCTGACAATGTTCTCGCTTTTGAAGCGCAGGGCACTGGGTGCACTCGATTTGGCCTCCTGCAGTGCATACTCGGATATGGGTCGTCGGCGCAGGGGATGCGAGACGGGACGCTTGTTGCTAAATTTGCCATCGCCGGCATTTATGGGCAGCGGTAATGAGGCAAACTTCCATTCCTCTTGCTCCTCGTCGTACTTGGCCTGCGTGTAGAGCCGCTGCTTCACCTCGATTGGCACAAAATTGTCAATGATGAGCAGCTGGCGCTTCAGCTCCTTGACCAGTTCGTTCTGTGCCATCTCCAGTTCGCGCAGATCTTGATTATGATCGTGTTTGCAGTCGTTGAGCTCCTGCTGTAGCGCTAAATACTTGGCATAGCATTTGGAAAGTTTGCGTTTCTTTAACTCGACCTCCTGCTCCAGCGATACATTGCGTTCCCGGATCTCCAATGTTGTCTCCTCCTGCAGTTCCAGCTGCTGTTGTATTTCAATTTCACGCTTCTTTCGCTCCGCTATCTCCACCAGCTTTTTCTCCAGCTCAATTTGACGTTCGCTGTACGTGTCCAGCAGATTCTTGCCGCCGCGCACCAGCTGACCCTCCAGCTCAGCCAGTTTGGCGGCCAGCTTTGCGTTCTCTACACGCTCTCGCTCCAATTGCTCACTGGACTTGGCCACTTCCGCCTCGTTTTCCTTATCCGACTCTGGCTCCGATACATCTGCCTCGCTCTCCGCCTCGTCCTCAGCCGCTTGCAGCTGCTCCTGCGTTACGCTGTCCGGTAGCTCGCGCTGTGCCGGCTCTCGTTTGGGCTTCTTGACGCGCTTCTTGGCTGCTGCAGCCAGTTTCTCGGTGCGCTGTTGCTGCTGCGGCGCAATGAGACGCTTGAGTCGCTCAATCTCTGCCTGGTACTCTTTCAGTTTGGCATCCTGCGGATCCTCATTCTTAATGGGCTGGTTCTGTATGTTCTTGGCGCGCTGTGCATACCGCAGCGTTGTCAACGTCTCGTTGTAGTTGTAGTTCGAGGGTCCAATGTTGGCAATCATAATGGTCTTGGAGTTGCCGCCCAGCGAGTCCTGCAGTAATCGAGTCAGCTTCGAATCACGATACGGCACATGGGGCGAATTCTCTGCAAGCGCGGAGATTACATTGCCCAGCGAGGAGAGCGCCAAATTGATTTTGCTGGCCTCCTTGAGGCGTTCCGCCGAAGCGCCAGTCTTTGACTGACGCTCACTGCCAGCCAAATCAATGAGATTCAGTTTTCCCACTTTAATCGTGTTCGTCTCCGTGTCGCACATCTCAATCTTAATCATGAATATGGCATGCGAGCTGCAAAGTAACAGTCAGACCATTAATCAACCGTCTGCAGCTTTATCTCAAGACTTACCGCGAGCTGTGCTCGTTCATGTTGGTGAAGCCCACGGTGCGATTCTTGTTGCCCACCTTCATGACATTCGTCATGTCGTCGACGCTCTTGCAGTTGATGGCATGCAGATTGGGCACATAGACGCCGGAGCCTCGTTCGCGCACCTCTAGGTGCTTGGAGTTGGGTTTTAGCAAATCGCGCAGTTCCTCCATGTAGATCTCCAGATAAGAGACGTCCACCAAGAACTGAAAGTTCTCGGTGCGATTGATGTGCAGCCAGATTTGCTCAAACGTGCGCGGAATAATGCCCATCAGATCATCATTGTTCCGCACTCCCTCCATCGTAAACGTTTTGCCCGTGCCCGTTTGGCCATAGGCAAAAATGCAGCCATTAAAACCATCCAACACGGAGCTGACCAGCGGGAATACCACCTCGTGGTAGAGCGTTGTCTGTGTTGCAGCCGCATCATATGCCGCATCGTAGGTGAACACCTTGCGCTGCTCCTTATTGACATCCACCAGATTCTGTAGCTCCACCACACCGCGATTCGGATATACATTGACCACTTCCGGTGAGCCCTCAGTGCGCTCCCGATTGCTCATCGGACGGCATCGCACCACCACCTGAACGCACTCGTTTGGCGTTTGGCTATTCGCTGTGCCAGGGCGTTTGCTCTTCGCACTCATTTTGCTGTTGGTGCTGCTGCTGAAGCTGTTTTGGAGACGGTGACTAAAGCAGCCTTGCCTTTGTGCCCCCTTTTCACCCCGCGCTCAGTGGCCGTTTTTGTCTGGGGCTGTAGCTGTGACGACAAACAAATGTCAAATAAAATCAATAATTTGACAATGGCACAAATTGTGGCAGCATTTTCTGGCGTTTTTATGTTATCATTTCTTCTGACAAATGACGTCACTTAATTAGCCAAATATTGCGAACAATTTGGAGTTTAACGCCTTGCAATAATTACCTGTATTTTTAAAAGCCAAATTACTTCACCTTGAGTTCGTTTTTTTTATTGTTCAGCTGCTACCGCTAGCAAGGTTATCGATAGTAATTCGATAGTTTGTTGAGCATTTGCTAATCAAAAAATACCATTTTACTTATCGAAAACACTTAAAGCGATAAATCAAAATGTATCGGCCTTTGCGATATACGCGCAAAACTTGAAAATCTATTTAGCAAAACTACTAAAATAATTAATGCGTTTATTACGTCAAATATTTTACCTAGAGGATTTTGACTTATGCGCAGATTTATTATGATCTGTTGCGCCTCGCTTGCGTTTATTAAGGGGATTACGCGGATCGTAAACATCGTACCAGTCATCACCTTTGGTAGATGCATCTTTGGCCAGCACAGGCACATTGCTGTTGAAATTTAACGTGTGCGCCAACCAGTCGTCCCCAGTGATTTCCTTTTCCACAACACTGTCGTCCATTTGCTTAGGCTCTTCATCGACATCCTCCTCAGTATTCGATTTATATTTGAATTTGTCCAATTTTGATTTGAACTTAGATAACAAGGCCAATGTAAATTCCTCTCTGATATAAGAATTTCAATTATTTTCACATGGGTTATATATTTTATAACTAGGCTACTCACCTTCCTTGTCCTTTAACAGTGTCTTTTGTCTTGGCAGTATACATTTGTTTTACTTGAATGAAATCTTTAATATAATGATTTTCGCTGGCTCCCTTAATGGCATCCTTCTTTGAATTCTTTTCGGACTCCTTGGAAAGTTGTTTCTCCTTGCTGACCTTATCCATTTGATATTGCCGCTTCAATGACGCAATTTCTTCACGTATTTTGGACCTAAAAATCAACATTAATAGTGCCAAATACAAACAACATAGAGACAGTTATGCACATACTTTTCTTTGGAGATTTTCTGGTTTTGTTCTTGCTCCTGGGTCATCAGAATGTCCTCATCGTCATCCTCTGATTCGCTTTTGATCTGTTCACGTTTGACCGGCTTTGCCGATGTGGACTTAGTTGCTCTGGCGAGTTTACTCTTTATAATATCTGAGCAAGTGGCGGCTTTTTTAGTGACAGTCTCTTCGCAGTCATCTGACAAATTTTCCTCGCTTGGCGCTCGCTCTGTTTTGGGCACCTTAATGGGCTCCTTGCTTAGCTTTGGGTCATCCGTGGCATCATGTAAGGATTTTGCTTTACCAGCATTTTGTTTTACAAATATGCTCGTTTCCTGTTCGTCCCCTTCGGCCTCCTCTCCAAAGGAAAGTAGTCCAAAGTTTCTAAAGAAAACTTCCTAGTGAAAGCCACAATATTTAGGGAAATGTAATACTTACTTTACGCCTTGCTTTTCTTTTTTGGTTTTCTTTGGTTTTGAGGCTGCTTTGGGCAAGGAGCGCGGCACAATATCGTTGAAGGGATTGCTAAGCACTTCTGTAGAAATGATGCGATGTGCGTACATGGGGCGCTCCTGGTGATCGACGATGCCCTCCTCCAGCTTAAGCATATTGAATACTGTATCGCCCGTGATTTTGCCAAAGAGTGTGTTCTTGTTTTCCAGCTCTGGCGTCGGCGCAAATGTGAAGAAAAATTGTGAGGCATTGTCATCCTTGCCAGAGTTGGCCATGCCCACCAGGCCACGACGAGAGTATCGCAATCGCGAATGGAATTCATCCTTAAACGGCTGGCCATAAATCGATTCGCCGCCAGTGCCATCGCCATTCGGATCTCCGCCCTGTACAATGAATCCCTTCACCAGCCGGTGAAAAGTTGTGCCATTGTAATAGCCCTCCAGGCAGAGTTGGACAAAGTTGCGACACGCCTTTGGGCATTCTCTGGCCCACAGTTCTATGTCAATATCACCAACTGTTGTTTTCAACAAAACTTTGCCAGATGTTGGCGGCTCCTGGATGTAAATATTGCTCATTTTTAAGCAAATAAACAAATAAGACTAAAATTCTATACTGCAGCGTCGCTAGGCTGATGGTTGGCAACGCGTTTGAAGAAAGTCAGGGCTGTTTGTGCCAACAGCTGCTTAAGTTCGTAAAATATATCGATGTTTTAATATCGATATAAATACCTGTTGCACTCATTTAAAGTGCGTACACATCTTCAAAGCATAATGTGCCAAAAAATACCAATGTTCGTTACTAAGCAACGGTTTCTTTTTACATTGTGTCGTCCTTGGCTTTGCTTTCAATTTCAAGAATTAAAAAACCTACCAAAGAAAGTTTATAGAAGTTGTAATGAATTTTAGCGACGACCCACTGGCTGATTTACTCAGTGATAATAGTTTGGACAATGACAACTTCTTCGACGCGCCACCCGGCGGCAATGCAAAAAAACTGCCCAAATCCAACAAAGCCAAGACTAAACTGGAGGATCTCTTTGGCATAAAAGAGGAATCGGAACCGGACGCCCAAAATGCCACTGCAGCAAAACAAACTAATGCCAAACCGTCTGCTTCGAGCACACCGCGCATTGTCAAACAGAAGCCGACGCTATCGATGGACGATGCCGACGATGATGACTTAGGATTTGATCCCAAGCGGCCAAAGAGCAGCGGTGGCGCCAGGAAAAACCTATTCGACGATTTGCTCGGGGCGGCAGAGCCTAAACGAAACATTTTTGATGAAATTTTAAGCGGCAACGAGGCCGCACCCAAACGTCCCGCTACTGCAAAACCCTCAATGTCCCGCCAGTCAACGGATACAACGACGGACAACTCCAACGTGCACTCACAGGCGCGCCCTAAAACAGCAGCGGGCGCGGGCGCGGGCAGGCGCAGTTCAGCCTCTGTCCAATCCGCCAATCTCAACGCGGATCCTTTGGGTCTATTTGGTAGAGAGAAGGACACAAATGCCACAGTTTCGGGTATGTCAACGCCCGTGTCCAAGAAGCGCGGCACGGCTGACTGGCTAGGCTTGGCTGCAGCGCCCGCAGCTGCCGAGGGGGAGCTGGAACGTGCCGCCTCGCCACCAACGCCAAAGTTAACCAAAGAGCACCCACCAGCGCCAAAGAATACCTCCGACATGCTGCGCATTCCCGACTCGGACGAGGCGGAGCACGAGCCGCAACAACAGCCAAGCACGCGGCCGACTGGGGACACCACAGTGCAAAAGATCCTATTGCTAAACAGCCTAAACTTGGAGAGCAACCACAGCTACAGTGCTCTGCAACAGCAGGAGACGCAGCTGACGATCGCTGCCCAAATGAAGGACCAGGAGCGCGCACTGCTCGAAATGCAGCTGAAGCAGGAGACGCAGGATCGCAAGTTTCATGAGCTGCTGCAGCAGCAACTGCAGCGCCAGCAGCAAATGGAGGAGCACATCAAGGCGCAGCAGGAACGCATCAATATGCAACTGCAGTTGATGATGAGTCAGCCCGTCTTGGTGCGTGCCGAGCGCCCAGAATATCTGCCAGCTGCTGCTGAAATCAAAGCGAAAATCCCATCTGATTCCGTGCCAGCCAAAGATGACGGCAAGGAACAGCTGCTGCAGCTGGAAACAGATGTAAAGCGTAATTTACTCGAAAAGCAGCGACTTGAGGAGCTGGTGGCCAACATGAGAGTCAACTACGAGCAGGAAATCGAAATGATCGAGAGCTCCTATAAGTAAGTGCCTCAATACAAGTTCCATACAGATCTCGAAACTGTTTCCATTTCAGAAAACAGCTGAAGGTATTGGAGCAGCACTTGGCTGCTGTGGAGCAGCGCTTGAAGCTGGAGAACACCGAAATTACAGATTACTACTCCGGCAAGTTGGATAAGCTCAAAGGCGACTATGATCTACAGATCTCCAATTTAAAGCAGGATCATGAGGACGATTTGCGCATGCTGCGCAGCTCGCATGAGGCGGACATGGAGCGCATAAGGCAAGCCAAAATACTGGAGCAGGCCACTGTGCAGGATCATGGCAGCTACTTGGAAACGCTGCGCATGGCATCCAGCGATTTGCAAGAGCTGCGCGAGGGCCTGACCACGACCAAGGAGCGCGAACAGCAATTGGAATTGCGTGAACGCCGCCTGGCTGACGCGGAGCGCCGTCTAAGGATCGACGAGGAGGGCGCCGAGCAAGAGAAGCGTCGTCTCATGGAGCTAGTGAGCACGCTGGAGTTGCAGCTGGAACGCCTGTCCAAGGACTCCGCCGAGGAGAATTGGCAGCTGCGTCAGCGCATGGCCAGCATCGAATCTGAAAAGAAGGCATTCGAGCGGGAGAAGCAGTTCCACCGCGAGCAAATGGAGCGCGACGAGAAGCGAATCGCGGAGCTAAAAAATCTGCAGCTGGCCGAGGTTGAGCGCCTGCAGCTGGATATGCAGCAGGAGCGCACGCGCCTCCTAGTTGAGCAGCAGAAACTGGAGATGCAGCACAAACTGCACGAGCAGGGCGACTTGAATGCTGAGCGACTGGAGCTGGAGGCGCAGCTACAGGTGGCACGAGATGCCATTAAGCGAGCGGATGAGCAGCAGGAGCGCTGTCACAAGCAGCAGCGAGATCTGGAGCAGCGCAAGCGGGTGCTGCTGGAAAAAGAGAATGCGCTCAACATCAAGGAGGATGAGGTGCTGCACACGTCCAGCGACTATCGGCGGGCCATCAAGCGTTTGCACGCTGCCGAGCACAAGGCTCGTGAGGCCGAGCAGCTGCTGCATGCCAAGCTGCAGCTGCTGACCAACCGTGCACAGGAGCTCAGCGAGAAGGAGGCACAAATCTCGCAGGAACGCATGCTGCTTAGCCAAGATCGCATGACTCTGCACAAGATAAAGCAGCAGATTAGCCAAAGCAAGTGCGCCCTATGCAAGATGGGCGTCGAGAACGTGGAATTCGCGCAACGCATGGCTGGCCAGGGCAAAGGAAACCAAGGCACCAAGAATGCAGCGACTCAGCCAGTGACACAGGGTCAGGTGCAGGTGCAGACTCAGTCGAGGTCTCAGCTGGAGAATAGAAATGTTAGTCAAACGGGAATGCCTGTGGGCGATATTGTTGAGCGCATGCTGGACGAAAACATTGAGGCCTCCTATCGCAGAATGTACAATTTGTCGGATAATGAAGATTTGGACTATTGGACAACAGTTGGGCTTGATGACGATTCCAAAAAATTAGTCCTGGACAACGGCAATAGTTTAGACATCGAAGACTTAATGTTGGCTAATCTTAACCTGCACTGAAAACTTTTAAAATAAAAGAAACACTATTTCTAAAATTGTAAAATTACAAATTTTTAAATTTTAAAGCTGCTTATCGATAGTTTTGACCAACAATCGGTATTATTAATATATTCATCGCAATAGTCTGATTCCAGTGTGTACATAAATCTAAAATATCTTTTATTACTATGCTTGTTGCATTCCGTTTTGTGAATTTTTCCGTGTCGTTTGTTATTATTCTTTTTTGTGGTCGCTTCGTCACAATTTAGTAAAATTCAATTAAGTATATTTATTTTATTGTTCAATAACTGTTCTTAATATGTCGCATTAAACAGTATTTCGCGTTTAACGCCTACGTGTATGTGTGCGTTTCAGTTTCGTTTTTCTGTACAAGTTTTAGTTTCTCTGTGTTAGTGTTATATCTGTTGTTTGTTTGCATGTGTATGCATGTGAGTGGAGGAAGCTCCAAAGCCGCGGAACTCACAAGCAATCCAAATGAAAACGTCATAAGTAAAAAGCACATACAAATTGAAGCAACTGAAATCGACGGCAGTATTAGGCAAGTGTGCAAAGAAACCAAACTCGAGCTATGTAAGTGGATGAAAAGCGAAACCAAATACACATATGTACCTATATATATGTAAATATATATATACATATTTATGCATGGCTATGTATGTATATGTTTCCTGTATGGGTGCAAGAGCTGCCAACAATTTGTATACTGGCATTTACAACTTATGCACATATGCATATCTTTTCAAATTTGCAAATACATTTTTTTTAATGACTATCGTTATTATTTTATATAAATGTACTGAAAATATTTCAACATTGATATTTATCTGTTTTTTTTTTTTTACATTACATTTCTGCCAACGCTTAGCTACATTTACATGTGTGTATGCGTATGCACACACCTTTATAAATACATACTTACATATGCATGTAGGTATGCAAATTTGAACTTGTCGAACTGCTGCTCGTCATACTCATCACATAATATATTGTTCGTTAGTATTTAAATACTTTTTATTGATTGGCTCTAACCTTTGGCTCGCCTTGCCTCAGCTAATACTTTCACAGTGCCGGCATACATATGTTTGCATGTTTTCTTATCTATTGTGTCCTCTTTTTGATAGCATTTTGATCTCGTTTTCATAGTGTATATGTGTATGCTTGTATGTGTGTGGGTACCGGTAACACATCTGTGTTGTACTCATGTGTTCAGTGGTGCTTGTGTGTGTGTGTGTGTGTGTGAAAAGCATTCATGCTGAACAGCTGTTCTTCTCAAGGCAATCGTGAGAAAGCGGCACATTCGTTTGTTTTTATTTGCGACACACGCACACACACATGCAACAGTCTTGTCGTACGGCATGAATGAATTACATATTTATTGGGTGAACATATCTAAGAAAAATATATTAATGTAACTCGTACAATATACAATTAAAGCTTTGCTGACAGACTCCTCTCTTAGACACAGCCTTCTTTAGTCAGCCCTCCACAAAAATTCTTTATCCCCCTCCAAAAAATTGGACTTAAAAACTAAATTTTGTGATTTTTATCAAAAAAACAACTCAATAATATTTCAATAATTCATTTTTACTGCTCATTAGAATATATAAAAATATGTCATTGATATGGGATACATAAGCGGACATATATCTTATCTTGAAACAAAACGCTGGAACTCTAGAGTTTGCTCAATTTCATTGGTATCGTATTTTACATACTACACTAACTATTAAAACAATTTTATAATATAATGAACTGTTAACAGTTGCTTTAGAAATTCGCATAGTTTCATTTATTATAAATAGAATCGTTCGTCATTAAGAATCTTCTCAGGATCAAACTTTAAAATGATTATAGTTTATAATAACTATGAGAAATCATTCACGAAATGTGGAACATTTCTCAACAAACGAGAAATATGTCTGTTTTTTTATCTGCCGCAACAACCGCTTATTATAGCTCTTATCACAGTCAAAACAAATATGCGATGAAGGATAACATAATAATAAAGCTATTGCCGCCGAGTTGACTAAGCTTGTTGCGCATTTCTAACAGGTCCGCCCAAGGTGCGACTAGACTAGAGTTTGGTAAGGTTTAAGGTTAAAAAGCTTTTTGATACGGTGCTCAAAGAAAAGCAGAAAACTTTTCGTATATTTATAAGCAAGCAACATATAAATTGGGCTCTGTAATGTTAACTTGCTCATTTCACTGCTTTATGCTTACAATTCTCAATAAGTTAAGGCTTCGAAAGGAGGCCAAGCGTTTGCAATTCTAAAGTTAATGTCACAGTCTGCAGCTTATAGAGTAGGTTATTTAAATAGATGTAGGTTATTTAAATAGATGTCGTGTTATTTGTAGCTCATTATATTTATATAAAAAAATATATACATAAGCTACTTATGAAATACTTCCTACATAAAACTAGCTTAGGGATTCAAAAGTATTTGCTGTCACTTTAATCACACATACATATGTTGCTCGACAATATTGAGTCAGTCTACAAGGGAATTGCTGAAATATCTGTTCTTAACTAAAAACATTTTGTAATGCCCTCATTTAAAAACAAAGAGAGACTGAGAACAACATTTTATAAAATTTCTAAGTTATCTGCAAAAATTATCAAGTGGCCGTTGAAGACATCTTCACGGAATGGTGTCTCGAAGGTATTAGCGTAATTATAGATATTGTGTGATTATATTGATTTATCATTTGGATTAGAGGGCAAATATACTTAATATAGTCATAATTTATCGTTGGTTTCGGGTCCTAAATAATTAATTAATTTTTTCGTGCTCCCTGCCAACAAACGCAACTGAATCATGATTGGCCTTGAACTTCAACTCGAACCCTCGAAAAAAAAAAATAAAAAAAATACAATAGAATACAATATATTTTTGCTTCGTCTGTAAAATACTCTTGGACTCTTTATTTCACCTTTACAGCACGTAATCGCGTTTATCGTAGCTTTTGTTATCGCACAGCCGAATGGCGCACAGATAAGCGAATCAAACCACACGGCATTGTTCGGCTAGACTCGAAGAGAAAACAAAATTTCACCAATTATATTTTTTGTTTTGTTTTTTGTTTTGTTATTTGCAGTTGGTCGTGGGCGCAGATTCTGAGTGGATAATGGCGAATCAGGCACAAATCGATAGCGACAGGCAATTCCAGGAGGACTTGGCCAAGGCGACGGCCCTGAGCCTGGAGCAGCAGGCCCTCGATGACTACAGGCGTCGCAAGAAATACGGCACTAGCTATCAATCGGCCAATGTCGATTATTACACCCAACAGCAGCAGCAGCAGCAACAGCAAGAACTAAGAAGCTACCAACGTCGTCACTCGGAGGTGCATCAGGCGACGGCAGCATTGAGCAGTGTGGAGCGTTCGCGCACGCCGCCGGCGCAGTCAGCCCATGGGAATGGCAACGGGGACAGCGATCTGATATGCTTTGCCAGTCCCACGAGCAAGCAGCCGACGCCAGAGAGCGGCAGCACCTTCGAGCGTTTAATTGAGGACTTGCAGCGTATGCAGACAAATAATCCGCAAACGGCTTTGGTGCCAGTGGGTCCGGTGGCGGCTGCAACGCCAGTGCCAGTGCACTATCCGCCACCGAGCTATGCAGTGGGCAGTGTGCCAGGCGGCGTTGGTATGCAGCTGGTGCCATACCAAGCGACTGCCCAGCAGCCACAGCAAAGGCCGTTGAACTACGAGGAGCTGCAGCGACTCTATAGCATGTCCAATCAATTGGCCGTGCAGCCAGTTGCACCGGCGCCAGCTGCGGGCTTTGTGTACTATCCAACGTTCTCGGCACCAGTTGTGCCCGGCTCGGCTGCCTATATGCCGCCTCAGTATCCGTCGCATGGCTTTGGCTATGGCATCGCTGGTGGCTATGCGCCTAATAACGGCGGCAGTACGCACGTGGACTTTGCCCGTCCACACAGCACTCCGGCAGTTGGAGCGGGAGCGGCAGCGGCAGTCGGAGCAGCAGCGCCAGTTTCCGCATCGAACAACATCAGCGCTAGCCAATCCAGCCATTCAGTTCCACGTTCCGGCACAGCGACGCCAGTTACCGCATTCAATGTGCGCCGGCCCACGCCTCCCGTTGGTAGCAGCCCGTCTGTTGGATCCTCGTTGCCAGCTCAGCGGACCGGCAACGATTTAATCGATTTGAATCAGGACGATTAGTATGCATCATGAATTCTCAGTTTGCCTTTGTTTGTTCTCTTTAATCCAAAGAAAAAACAAAACATTCTCTATTGCAGTTCCCGTGTAAGCGTCTTGGAGGCATTCGATCCCCTGCTCAATGAGAACACTGGTAAGCAATGGTCCTAAAATTCTTTTTAGCAACATTTTCTCTATGCGAACTGTATTTATAAAGCGTCTTTCTATTATAGCGATTAGAATTTTAGACTCTTAACTCCATGGATAGAATCAATATATTTGTAATCCAAATTGCGGGTCTTGTCTAGGCTTAAATATCAATAAAGTTCTTAAATTATTCGTAAACTCAACATTTTTAGCAATACAAAAATAAATGTAAACAAAAATTCAGAGATGAAAATTTCAACTATTGAAAATTTAAAAAAAAGTTTAAGGTACTCCCAATCTAGATTATTATTAAAAAAGTATTGAGATCATTAAATTAAATAATATGAAAGGAGCTAGATTGAAAATATTTATATATACTAGAGCTGGCCTTAATAAAGCCATGTCCGTCCGCACAAGCTAATTCGAGTGCTTACTTCATAGGTTAGGGTATGTGAGTTTCGGTGCGCTGTAAATATCGTAAATGAGTAGATTTTGTTGTTGTTCTTCTTATTATTGTTTAACGCTGCTGCTGTTGTTGTTGCTGTTTGCTGTTGTTGTTGTTAATCGACACCAAGTATAACCAAGAAAAACCTGTTAAACTGAATGATTTCTGTTTCTCTATATTGCAGTGTCGCAAAAGTAATACAGTTTAGTGCAAACCTCTACTACTATCCATACTAAGTACTACTACTACTACTACTACTACTACCAAAAACTGCAACTACTTAACTATCTATCAA